ACACACACACACACACACACACACACACACACACACACACACACACAAATTTAAATTTAGTTCTCATATATGAGAAAATAAGCACTATTTGTCTCTGGGGCTGCTTTCTTTGTGTTAGCGTGATTTCTCATCAGCTACTTACCCCAGGTGGGGTAAGATACGTGCTTTTCGATAATTCAATGATTTGTTGGTGAAGTTCGTTAGTTTCATTAAAATACATAGCACAAGAAATCCGCAGAAATCTGGCTTCCCCATAGAAAGGTGTGAGGGTAGTGTTTCCCTTTCAGTGATTATCGTTAATGGGCCTAGAATGTGCAGTGCCCTGAAGTAGGTTCCAGGGATGGCTCAAATAGCAGGGCCACCTGGAAAGTGGTTAAGAGCTATCAATTAGGGAGTCAAATCACCTGGGATGAACACCTTAACTTGATTAGAGAACATCAATATTAAAAATGTTTACAGGAAGTTCCTACCATTAACATGTCGCTCTAGCTGTCCTGGAACTCACTATGTAGACCAGGCTGGCCTCAAACCCACAGAGATCCGCCTGCCCCTGGCTCACAGAGGGATTAAAAGTGTGTGCCACTATGTCCGGCTATAAATGACCTTTCTTGTTTCCTCTGTACTCGTAAGAAATGTGTGAACCATATAATCATTATGTGTGAAATACACTTCTTGTTCTTAGCTTCATTCATGCATTTTCTTTTCTCCTTTCTTATTTTTGGATTTTAATTTTCTTTTCTTTTCTGGCTTTTTAGATAGAAGTTAATTTCCTTACCTTAGAGTGTTTTCTTCATTTATGTAGGCATTTATAGGTAGATATTTTCTTCTTATTATTTTTTGCCCTGTGCCTTGTAGATTTTTATATGTTGTTTTTTCCTCATTCATCTTAAAGTATTTTCTAATTTTTCTTGGTGATTTTACTGTTTAGGCTATTGATTATTTGGGAATATGTAATTTAACTATCACATGTCTGTCTGAAATTTTCAATTTTTTCCCTCCTGTTATTGATTTCCCAGCCTACTGTGTCAGGGAACATACAATGGATGGTATCAATCCTTTTATATCTATGAAGACTTGCTTTATGGTCAACCAAGTGGACTATGCTGAGAAAAAGGTCTGGATACACTTGATGAAAATAGGGATAAAGCATTCAATAGATAGAGTTTATGGCTCTTAGAGTTCTGTGATGCCTTCTATTTCATTGCTGATCTTCCATCTACTTGTTGGGTCCATTATTGAAAGTGAACTGTTGAAGTTTCTCCCTTCTACTGTTTAGTTTCCCATTATTCACCTCAGTCCTTTCAGCTTTGTTCAGGAATGTTTGGCTCTCTTGTTAGGGGCATATATGTGTGAGTATATACTTGTATGTTTTCCTGATGAATTGGTACTTTCCCCTCTTCTCCCTAAAGCCCACAGCACACTGGCATGTAGGTATCTAAGATGAATATCCTGACTGACTCAAGAGTAGTGGCTCTGTTGTTCCTTGTTCTTCAGCGCTGAGTCTGGTAACTGAAACATATTTGTGCCCTTCAGAGAAGGTGATGCCCCACTCTTGTGATGTCAGTGAACTATGAATACCTCCCCTTTGCACCACTGCCACCAGAGCAGTTAGGAACCAATAAGCCACCTCAAAATGCCAGCGAAACAATACAGAAACCTTAGAAACCTTTGGAGTCCCAAGTATAAGCAGACAGACCTCAAGTCAGTGCATGAGCTGAGCTCTGCACTGTTTCTGCTATCACAAGAAACTTTTGACCTTTGTCACTAATTTGTTCCTTGTGTCTAATATTTTCCAGCCTGTCCCATTTGTCCTCTACTTCCTTTAAAGATTAGAGGGTTCAAAAGACAGTAGCAACTTCATTGGCTATCAATCTGCCTCTCAGAGCGCTTTCTCTTCTGAAGTGACTCAGCAGTGATTCCTCGGTTGCTGGGAGTGGCAAATGCTCATTAGAGCATTACTAGATCCATGACTGTCTTCCTGCGGATGTGGACCTGTGTCCTCTGCAGGGAGGGTTGCTACACGTGTGACTAATATGTGGGGAAGGAGCTGAGTGGAGAGTGTTATCTCTAGATAAGGGAGACCCCTCCCCCACAGCTCTGGAAAGGCTCAGGACTTAGGCATCTCATATCACACAGGGCATCCTCTTTTGCTTCTCAGGTGACACAAGCAACCTCAGAAAATCCAGAATACAGGTAAGTAAAGCTTAGGCCAGGCTGCTGGGCCTTTGAAGTGCTGGTGTGTGTGTGTGGGGGGGGGGGGTTGGTATGGTCCCCCTTGCAGAGAAGGTCCAACTGTATTCCATGCAGACAATATTCTACCTTTGACCAGAAGGCTTCTGAGGAAATCCTTTGTGCCTCTGGCACTTGGTTTTAAGAGGAAGGCAGCCTATTTAGCAAATTCAGTTGAATTTTTGTTGTGTGTGTGTGTGTGTGTGTGTGTGTGTAGAACCAGGATGGGTCTCAGAAGCAGCTGCCATAGGATAGGAAGCAAAAGGTGATTCTCTTAGACAATACTTCTGCTTTCAGTTGTCATGTCCTCATGAGGCATATCAGAGCTGTGGGTCTCCTTGAAGTCTGGCCTCCTTCCCACTTTCTTTATAGCCTAGGCTCCGATATGACACTCCCTGAGTTCTCATCACCTGAACTTCTGGGAACAGATTCTGGTCCAGAGAAGAGACATGAACCCCCATAAGGAATGTGGCTCCCACTTTCCCTTGTTCAGCCCTCCTTCCAGTTCTTTTGACATAAGAATGAACCAGTCCTTGGCCAGTCATGGTGGTATATACTTTTGTAATGTCAGCACCCAGGAGGTAAAGACAAGCAGACTAACTCACGTCTCAAATCAGACTGATAGATGTAGAGGGTTTTGGTCTTTGTTTGTTTGTTGTTTGAATGTTTTGTGAGTCAGGCCTTTGCAGTTAAGCTATGTCTGAAATAACAGACAAAAAGTCCCACCAATAAATCAATTCTGGTTGCCTCAGTTTTATTTGCCATCCTTCTGTTTGTGTCTCTATGGAGATTTTGTTATCAAGATGTCTTGTGGTCTTTGGGGGTAGAGGTTTAGGAAGATTCAAATTTGACAGTCTTACTGGAACCTTCCATTGACCACCTGAGTGTTCCCAACAGTTATAAAGTTTGAAGTCTATTTTGTCAGATATTCAGACAGTGACACCTGCTTGTTTCCGGGTCCCCTTTGATTGGAGCAGTGCCTATCTTTAAAACCATGATGTTTTCTTGTAGATAAAAGACAAATGGGATTTATGTCTTGATCCATTCAGCCAGCCTGTGTCTTTTGATTAAAGAATTGAGCTCATTAATATTTAAAGTTATCATTGAAATGTACGCATTGGTTGCAGACATTGTGCTGCTTTTGGTGGTGTATTCTTAGGGATAACTTTGTAATTTAGTAATTATGGCTTTGTATTTCTTTGTGCAGTCTGTTGGCTATGCTCATTCTTCTCTTAAGCCCAAATTAGTGCTTATTTTCTTTAGGTTTGGTTTGTTGGATTCAAATATTTTAGGCTGTTAAATATTTTAGGAAAGTTTTTTTTTCTTTTTCCTTCAACTGTGGCAGACAGGTTTGCTGTGTGTATTAGTCTAGGTTGGCTGGCATGGCCTTTCAGGGCTTGGAATACTGCTCCAGCCATTTTTGGCTTTCCAAGTTTGCAATGAGAAATTGAAAGATCCCCGGAGGGTATCTTCCGTCAGAGAGACCCCCTCCCAAGGATCAACGAGGCCATTCGGATGCAAACAGCAAGAGGCTTTTATTTTGATTCACGAGTACTCGGGCAGCAAGGTCACTCAGGAGGACCTTGCGCGCCCCCTAGATGGGAAGCTGGGGTTTTTATAGGGTTTTAGAGGCAGAAGCACTGGTACAGAAACGAGAGGGCATGGTTACAGGGGGCTGATTGGTACGTTTACACGAGACCACAATTTGCGTCAAAGTTTGGCAGGGGCACCAAGATTCCAGGAGCTGGGTGGTCAAGGGGGGTAGGATGACCCCTTGACGTGGCCCGCCACCTGTTATTTTGTTTTTCTCTATCTTAGCTGAAACAGTCTCACAGATATCTATGAGAGTGATTAACACAAACTGTTTTTAGTATGACTGGGGCAGCCTGACCACAGATATCCCAAGTGGGTGACACAGCTAGGATTTCTCAGTAATTTTCCAGTTTCTCATCTGGCCTTCAGAGTTTTACAAAACAGTGGTGTCTCACAAAATAGCATTAGCTATGTTTAACTTAGTGTGAGGCTGGGGTCTTTCAAAATCAGCTGTTCTTTTGATGATTTTTTTTTTATATGTGATGTGCATCTTTTTATTTTCTTTTGCAGCTTTCAATACATTTTCTTTTTCTAATTATAGCACACTGTGGGGATTTTTCTTTTCTGGTCTTGTCTATTTGGTATTCTATGTGCTTCTAGCATCTTTATGAATATGTCTTTCCTTAGTTTGGGGAAGTTTTCTTCTATGATCTTGCTATTTGATCCATGACATCTATCTAGGATTCTTCTCCTCATTTATTCCTATATTTAGAAGGTTTAGTCATTTCCAGGTGTCCTACATTTCCTGTATGTTCCTTCCCTGTGGTTTTTATATGTTTATGTTGTCTATGTTGATGTATATTTTCATATGTTTATGTTGTTTAGATCCTCTGCTTTATCTCTGAGTCCTGGTATTTTATCTTTTATTTGATTCATCCCACTTGAAAGGCTTTCATTTGGGTTTTCTAGTAGGTTATTGGGTTTTTCAGTTCCATTTTCATTTCACCTTGAGTATTTTTCAGTGTTCTGTCTCTTTACTGAATTCTGTTTTGAAACCCTAGATTGTCTTTAGCATTTCCATCATCCATTTTTGTGGGTTTTGAACATCACTCAGGCTTTTGTTCTCTTTAAGTCTTTCTCTTTAAGTTCATTGAGCTGGTTCTTCATTTTTTAAATTCCTTGAATTCTTTGATAAGGTTTATGATTTTTTTTTCAATTCTGAATCTTAAGATTTATCTAAGAAAATTTTACTGGTAAACATTTCTGTAGGAGTAGTGAGGTTTTGGGGGGAGATGAGGTAGGGAGCTACAGCCTTGATCTTTCATATTGTTTGTAATTTTGCAATGGGAACTGGGTACGTGTGCTTCTTTTGTTAGTTCTATGTCTGATCAGGACAGAGGAGGTTGGAGCCTGACAAAAGAATGTATGGGTCAAGTTAGGCCTAGAGGTTGGATATGGCTTAGGTGAAATGAAGTCAAATGGATACAGAGGACTGGGCTGGTGTGCAGGATGTGTGTCGAGGTTCAAGCCACTATCTCAAGGCCACACAGGATAGTGGCTATTATATAAATGCCATGAGATATTTATACATCTTCTCAATTCCAATCTGTCTCTCTTTTCTAGAGGCTTCAAACTTCTAAAACCAGTAGCAGTCAGTTGATTGTACCGAAGTTTGGGTGAAGGTGTACATTTACCACTGTGGAAAATATTTCCCTGTTTCTGGTTGCTTCATTTGGAAACTTCTCAGGAGAGCCATGGGCTCAGACTTTAGCACAGCGAAGATAGCGCAGGTCGCTTCTTGTTCCATCTGCCAGGACCTGATGTCTCACCCAGTCAGTATCAACTGTGGACACACTTACTGCAAATCCTGCATACAGAGCTACTATAATAATGTCAGTCCAAAGAAAATAGTGAAGAAAATGTTGGGCTGTCCTTTGTGTAGGAGTCCATTTAGTTTAGAGATGCTCCGGCCCAACAAGGATCTGGAAAACATAATTGATATCATCAAGGAGACGGAAGAGCAGGATTGTGAGATGCTGTGTGAGGAACATGAAGAGAAGCTTGATATCTTTTGTGAAGATGAGGGTCAGCTCCTCTGCTGGCGCTGTTACTGGGATGCTCAGCACAAAGGGCATACCTTGGCTCTTGTGAAAGATGTACGTCAGGAGTACACTGTGAGTATTATGGTTGGGCACCACTACAAATGCCCATTCTCGTGATGGCTGTAAGTATGAGAATTAGTGTGTAATAAGGACCCAAGTTCAAATCCCAGCACCCACATAAAAAGCCAAGAGTGGCTATGCCTCATCTGAAACCTCTGTGTTGTGAGGAGCAAAGACAGAATGATCAGTGGGGCTTGATGGCCACCAGCTTAGCTCCAAGTTCAGTGTGAGACTCTGCTTCCAAAGAATAAAGCTGAGAGACTGAACAGGGCAAGTACTGTGTTCTTGTTGTTTCTGTGTGTATGCTAAGCATGGCTACTCCCATATGTGTACATTCATATAACTATATCTCTTCTTCCTGCCCAGCTCTCTCTTACACACACACAGCACCACCACCACCAACAACAACATCATCATCACCACCACCACCACCTACCAAGACTGTAGAAGAAGAGACTCCGCACACGCAGAGTCACACCATAGCAACTCCTCCACCATCATTGTCAGGCCAAGCAGCCCTGTTAGGGAAAGGGAGGCGATGACACAGGAAACAGAAGCCGAACCCAGACTCTTCCCATCACTTCTGATTCTAAATCTTAAACCAAGTGGTACCTACTGTGGAAGAATGTTCATTTGGAAAGTGAAAGGCCAGAGGCACTGAGAAGCTCTGGCGCTGTAAAATAAAAATATCAAGGGGAAATTTCAAATCGTCTTCATAAGAAAAAGTATGAGAGGGCAGGTTCAAACAAGATTCCAGAAGAGAAAAGATCTGAAAATAAATGCTTGTGGTGAGTTATGTGGAGAGAGGTTTGCCATGACTCATAGGTTCTCCCTTGAGAGCACAGAGCCTTTCTGCTCTGACACAGTGACGGATGGAGTCAGTTTTGCTTTCTAGATAGCTCTGGCTGTCCTGGAACTCACTTTGTAGACCAGGCTGGCCTTGAACTCACAGGGATTTGCCTGCCTCTGCCTCCAAGGGCTATGATCACAGATGTGCACCACCATATTTGGCTGCTGTCTTGATCATAGTCCATTCTGCTGGCTTGCAGGAAAATGTACCAGGTGGGATCCTCATGAAGCAGACATGGTCCCACTTAAAGGCCTCAAATCTTTCATGAGGATAGGTCATGGCCAAATGCCACTCAGTACACTCAGCTTTTCTTTAGCCTCCCTGCAGCAGCTGCAATGCAGAAATTCCTAGCTGTATGATTTCCCCGCTGAGTAGTAAGAAAAGGAACAAAGCAGGATGACAATTACCAGTCACAGAGGCAGGCAGATAGGTTGACCCGTTAGCCCTGATGCTTAGCAGATGGGTAACCATGCTAATTTGCCTGAAGTTTTCCTGTCTTGTTATCCCTGTCTGTAAACAGAGATGATAGCATCTGAGTCCTCAGCACATATGCTGGGAGTTGTATTCGCTTTATGGATGTTAAACTATGTAAAGTTTAGAACAGCATGTGACATATAGCAAAGGCAATATTGTGTTTTTCTAAATCAGTCACAGACTCTTTTCATAAGAGTCCTTGGAAATTAATTCACACACACACACACACACACACACACACACACACACACACACACCTGTGGAGTTTAGAGAAGGCAGGGGGTCAGTTATTTTATCTTTGATCATTACAGGCAATTTCTGGTTGCCTCAAATTGCTGTCAGTGAAAATATGAGAAACTATTTTAGGAATTACCTTGGGGCATTAGAGGAGAGCTTGACTAGAAAACTAATTCCTGTAAGTTGGTTCTTGTTGCCATTCTCCAAACCCCTTCTCTCTCCAAACTCTAATAACATCGATTAGTATCCTTCAGTATCCTGGCCTTTCCGTTGTCACTTACCCATAATGCATACAGACTTCTGGCTGTGCCACCCATCTCCGTGTTGGCTATGTTTGGTTTAACACACTGTTTTATAAACTCTCCCTGGAAATGGCTGTGACAGTCTACGGCAGCCTTCCCCAACTGAGACTGTAGTCATGGATATGGTTTAGCAAATGACATGACACCGGGGTCCCAGTTGTACTCCCGAGACTCTCGGTGATGCTTCCTGAGGCAAATTATTTGACTTCATTCTAAGCTTCCTTTTCCAGGGCAAGTCAGAGAAGTTAAGCGTCCTACCAACTGATTGCTAAGGCAATCCATGAGTTTCCATATTCACAACCGTCAGCATGCACTCTGAGAGACGTATTAAGAGCTTAATAACTATTCATTGTGATTCTACCACATTTTCGAGGGCTGGGGTTCAAAGCAAATGCCTAGTGGAAAATCAAATTGAGGGTGAGGGACGTAGCTCATTTGGTTGCTTCCTTAGCTTACAGAAAGCCCCAAGTTCAATGTTCACCAATACTTCATAAAGGAGGGCACAGTGGTACACGTCTATTACTTGGCACTCAAAGGGTGAAAGCAGAAAGTTCAAGGTCGTCCTTGACTACCCAGTGAGTTCAAGATCACCTTGGGTCCTGTCAGACCCTGATTCAAAATGAAAATAAGATTGATATGAACCGACTTTACTCACTTAAATTTTTCCTTCAGGAAAAGCTGCAGAAGTGTGTGACAAAATTGAGTGAACTCCAAGAGAATCACAAAGTTCAGATCCTAGCTTTTAACAAGCCAGATAAATGCCTGGAAGGTAAGTCTGAATCTTCTGCTATGGGTCTAGGCAGAGAGGAAGACTGGGAGAACAAAATACAGGGACAGCTGTCTCTCGCCAATACATAGGAAACCTAAAGAAGACAGCACTGTTTTCATATTTACATCTGTGAAATTTTGGCAGCAGGTCATTCCATCTTTCAATATTAACTAGCTGGGATTTCTGATAATTTAATCAGAACCCAAACTGGCTTCTTTGGACTTAGCCTAGTCTTTATGCAATCAATTTGTTGCCACTGTACCTAGGTATGGTGTCCCAGCATCGATCCCTGTGTCCCGCGCTTATTTTATATAGTAGGGTGTCTTCAACCTCCATCTTTGCTTCATGGCCCAGACTTTAATTTTAAAAAAAATTATTCAAAATATTAAATATGTGTATATATGGGTTTGTGAATTGAGTTTGGTTCAGGTACCCAAGGATGACAGAAGAGGGCACCACATCTCCTGGAGCTTATGTGATAGGTCCTCTCTAAGAACAGTACTCCCTCTTCACCACTGAGTAATCTTTCTGGACCAATACTTTCATCTTTAATAATGGATAATACTGATCTACTCCATGGCTCGTTTTGACATTTTAAGTGCATTAGTCTGGTTCTCTAGTGTCACTGCCCTAGAAGCAGTGGGACCTAGGAGAATGGAGACTAGAAATGAGGTGGACAAAAGTCTCATGTAATAACCAACTTTATTCAGAGCAGCAGACAATTTGTATTTTGAGAGTTTAAGCAAAATCGTGTGAGCAAAGTTCACATGCATGCAAGCTGGGTCCAATCACAAGGACAAGGTGTGCCTGGAAACACTGTCCCGACAACCATCGTAAGCTAATGGGTAATCTGAAGTAAACCGACTCCTGGGAGTGGCACAGAAAGCACATCCAAGAACAGTCTTTTGCTTTGGAGGGCTGAGGTCTTAGCACTCAGAATTCTCACACAGCTTGTTTCGTCGATCATGTTCCAACACATGTCCCAGGACATCAGCCTCTGACTTGCTGTGCTCATCAGGATCCAGCTCTTAGCCTCACCAGGTCAGAGGCAACCCTTGAGAGAGTTCAGCAAGCAGGAACACCCCAGGCTGAGGATTGTGAGGGCAGTAAGGGGAACCTGTGTGGTTTCTAAAACACATGGGTCTTGTAGAAACTGCACACTGCAGCTGCAGATCAGAGAGCTTTAGCCTACAATAACGGCTGATTGTAGAGGCTGCCCCCGTGTCTGAAGTCCATTCTTTCTGGAAGTGTCTGTGTCATCAATTATTAAATTAAAAAAAAAAGGGGGGGGGGGGAGGCATGACTGCTAGAGCCATCTGTAAGAATCCAGAGTGAACATGACCCTGAGCCAACCCATGTGAGAAGATGGGGTAGGGGAGAACAAGAAAGTAAAGGGTAGACAAAAAGAGCCAGGTAACCAAAATGACTGGAAGGGCAGTTCCAACCCCTGGGCTGGAGAAGTTTTGGGTAGGGGGCAGGGTACGCCAGCTAAAAACCCTGTAATGGGTAGGGACTGAGGGATACTAGGAGAACCTGGCAGCCAGATCTGCTTTGAAATGTTAAAAAGGCAGCTCAGCAATTTGTCCTGGGTTTGAGACCAATTACTAGACTTTCAGTTTCCACAGCTGGTGCCATTTCTTCCCTCTGCTTCCTTTACATAGGATGTTTAGCTTAAACTTCCAGAGCATGTTTTCCTTTACTTCCCTTCTTTCTAGGAATGTGGGAAATGAAGGAAACTGATTTTACCTAACAAAAGTGAAAAAAACCCATCAATATCAAGGCTATAAAGCTGTACCTGCCTCCCACATACAATTCCCATTCCTCTTGTGTCAATTACTTTTCCATCACAAAGTGATAGTCACCAAAGCAACTTCAGAGCACATTCATGGATACTTCAGGTCTCTGACTTCTCAAGTGAAAGTCAAATCCCATCTCACAAGCATTTGGGTTTTGCTGTCTTATGCCTAGGAATGAATGGTGGCCCTGGGCTGCTGGGTGATGGTTCTCAGCCCTTGAAAAAGCAAGCCATACCAATACCACCCTTTCCAGAAATCAGAGTCTCCCCTGTACCAGCATAGTTGTCTTACAATTCTTTCTTGGCAGTATTCTTCATACCTTGCAAGGAATTCCACCAGGCTCAGAGATGCCTTCTCACCCATCAAAGAGCCAGCCAGGTTAAGAACTTGAGGCGTTCTTCCAGCTTGAGTGGCTCACTGCAAGCTTATGTCAGTGCAGCTGACCCTGCTTTCTTTTGGGGATGGGGCCTTTTGGTGGTATTATGCATAGAGCATAAAAGTTGACTTTGGCCATTATCTTCTTTTTAATTAATTTATTATATACACAATGTTCTGGCTGCATGTGCACCTGCACACCAGAAGAGCGCACCAGATCTCATTGTATCTCGTTATAGATGGTTGTGAGCCACCATGTGGTTTGCTGGGAATTGAACTCAGGACCTCTAGAAAGAGGAGCCAGTGCTCTTAACCTCTGAGCCAGCTCTCCAGCCCCCAGACTCTGCCATTGTTAACTATACAATTGAAGACACTTAGTACATTGTTGCTGTCCTTGCATAATCATCACCATATTCATCTTTAGAACACTTTTCTACTTTTCAAAATGAAACAGGAGCTGCCAGTTCCTCCTGTCTGCCAGTGCCTTGTATCACTGTAATGTACGTGTTTTGTGTATACAAATCATAGAAGTATTAGTTCCCAAGTTTTGTGCTTATTTCAATTAGCAGGTTCCCTCATCGTTGCATTTTGTTTATCCATCTGCTTGTTAATTCAAAGATAGACGTGTTCTCATGCTTCGAGCAATTTTTGTTGACTCTAGGATGCCATAAAGGATCGTAAACAAACAATCAAGTCTAACTTCAAGAATCTCCAAAGTTTTCTACATGAAGAAGAGAAGTTTTACCTTTGGAGGTTGGAGAATGAAGAAGAACAGATGCTGATGAGGCTGAGGAGCAAGGAGGCCGGTCTACGCAGAAGCATGAGGGAACGAAATGCCAGATTCAGGAACTGGAGGCAAAATGTCAGGGCTCAGCCCAGAAATTACTACAGGTGAGCTTGTGGGCTACGAGGAGGGAGAGAAAGCTGATGATTTTATTAGCAGGAGGATACTGGGAAAGAAGCATGGAGATTGGCGAAGGCTACCTCCACTCCGAAGGCCAGTAATATTGGTGTGGGGAATGTGGGTTCATGTTTGAGTAGCATCAAGATGGCTTCTACTAATCTACAGGATCCTCTAAGTTAATTAGAAAAAAAAAAAAAAAACCCGCTTACTCTGGGTGAACATAGAATTGCAAAATGGGATAATTACTGCCATCGGGCTCACAGTAGCTTATCCACTGAGGTATCTGTCAGACTCATTCTTAAAATACTCTTCCAAGTGACAGATGGTGACAGTGTAAGAAAAGTAAGAGAATAATATAACTACTCCATGATTTTCTTATAGGGTCCCTGATCCTGAACTTACAGCTACATGATTGATGTATCTATAGCATCAAGATAAACAGCTGGAGCTCTGGCTTCTCCTTCCTCTGCTGGCACTGCTGGTTACAGCTTAAGGTTGAGAATGTGGCGTATCTGCTCCACTTCTCTGCAGCTTTCCCAGTCTCCAGAGCTGTAAGTGGATTTGCCACTAGTGACTCGTGTTACAAGTTATCTCTAACAAGAATTCTCTATGAAGGACATTTAGTCACTGAAAGTAATTCTTGCCAGAGGAAGGATGAGCACAGCTCTTGGTTTTCATTTTAACCGGCCCACATTGCAGCCTTTACAGCTCCACAGGCCTCAACAATGGAGGAGCAGGCTCCCCCTTTATTGGCCAGAGAACGGGATATAAAACATTCCTCAGTGTCCATTCTATGAAAGGATAGATGATTCTTATTCCTTCTTTGAGAGGAGTGTATTTAGAGAGCAGCTATACATGGAAAACTTCATGAGATACTGACATAAGCACAATCACCTTTCGTTTTTGTTCTTTCGTAGGACGTGAAAAACACTTTGAGCAGGTAAGTCCTGTATGAACACCTGAAAGGGCATAAAGAGCTGACTGGAACATAACACCGAGGAAAGCCCTGCCTTCTGCTTCTCCTAGGTGTGAGGCTATGAAGATAGAAACACTAACGGTTGAGCCCCTGGAGATTCACACTGAATGTAATGTTTCTGAGCTTTACCTTGATGTGAAGACAGTATTAAGACGCCACCAAGGTAGGTGTGTGAACTCAGAAATCTCCACGTGCTATGGCTGGGAGGTTCGTAAGCAAGAGCCAGTCTCACCTCCTGCTGCAACACTTACTCCCTCATTACCTTTTTACACTTATCCATGGGTAAACGGACAAATGTTTAGATTGTAGTTAGGGATTATGCTGGTTTAATAAAGTGGTGGTTTTGAGTTATCCTCCAAGATCCATGACTTCACTATCGCTGAGTAGTTGGCCAGTTTCCAGTACCAGGCATGCTTTCTTGTTGTTGAGTGGGTCATAAGTTCAATTAGAGAGCTGTTGGTTACCCTCAAGGTATGTATGCTACATCCATATGATTATCGTGTGATGTTGGTTGTTCTTTGGGTTCAAACGCACTCTAGCTGAGTAAGACTGTTGGTTGCTTCCCTCCAAGTTGGGAACTTTTGTGACGCCTTCTGGTAGCATGAAAGCTAATTCTCAGGGACGAGGCTTTCAGGTCCATTTCAGATCAGGGGCCTCTGAGTTCTCTGTCTGAAGTAAATGGTGTCCTCAGCAATGCTGTCTTACCTTCCACCTCTGAGGGACCACAAATGACAATAACAACAAGCTGTATGTTTTCAAAATCTGTTCATCGACGCTGACCAACAACTCAAAGAGGGCTGCTCATGTCTGGTATTAGGGTTTTTGCTAGATTATTTTTGGCTATTGGAGGAAGCATTGTCAGCCCAGATAAAGTTCATTTAAGCCATGTATGTATACTTATATACAGAATTACTTGTATTATAGGGTTTTATATAAAGATAGTTATATTATGATTCCTTATGACTTATTCAGTTCTTCGCACTGTTATTTTGCTGTCCCTCCTCCTTCTTTTGTATTTACCTTTCGCATTCCTTCCCAAAGATCCTTCTTTCCCATTTCCCCAATCAGATCACTTATGTACTGCTATTCCCCTCTCTATGGTTCCCAACCCCTGTATCCCATGGCTGAAGTTCATGATGACAGAGAAAGGCTTGGTGGCAGAAAGAGCTGAGAACTGACATCTTCTTGATCTGCAAGCAGGTGGTAGAGAGGGAGATGGCTGGAGTCTTTTGAAACCTTAAAGCCTGACCCCAGGGGCATAGCTCCTCCAGCAGAACCACCCCTCCTAATCCTTGCCAAAGAGTTCCACCCACTGGGGACCAAGCATTCAAATATATGAGTCTGTGGGGCATTCTCATTCAAAACGCCATAGTAGTTGAGCGGCATGTGGAAATAATGCAGCTCACTGGGAATTTTTCGCAAATAATGAATGAACACGTTATATACAAGACTAAATACAAGTGCTACCGATCCCATTGAATGAGCTACCTTCATGCTTTGTTCTGTTACTCAGTGCTTGCTACATCCTATAACTCCTTGTCTGTGATTACAAAATTCAAACCCTCTAGTCAATAACTCTTTGGGGAAATTGTTGTTTCTCTTTTTGGTTAGGGATGGTTTCTAGTTGTGCCTTCTGGTTGTGGTTTTGTTGTTGTTTTGTTTTGCGGTACTGTTTGTATCAGATGTGGTCATAAACAAATCTGACATAATCAATGTCAGCAGTCCTACAGGTTCTGAATTCAGGAGGGTCTGGGGCAGAACAGGAAGCAGAACAACTCCAAATAGTTTTGATCCTTGGCATCTCCAAACGAGCCACGATGTTGGTGGTGCAGATGAGGGCATTGGTGGTGGTATGGCCACTGCTTATTAGGCATGTACCATATCTCAGACAAACCTTGACTCCTTGAACTCTCTTCATCATTGTCTACAACAGGCATGGTGACTTCCATTTTATACCTACTTTGCACAGTTAGGGTTTAAATGGCCCAGATTTGAACACAGTCTTTTTTTTTCTTTGTAAAGCATTATGTCTGTAGCTCCCCAAAGACTGGTTGTGTTTTGTTTTGTTTTGTTTTACAGTCAGTGTGATTCTGGACCCCAGCACGGCCCATCCTGATTTAGCTCTGTCTAAGGAGCGAAGACAAGTAACTTACGAAGGCTGCCACAAGGACCTTCCGACTTCTGCCAAGAGGTTTTCTATTTTACCCTGTGTCCTGGGCTGTGAGGGCTTCACTTTAGGAAAATATTACTTCGAAGTGTCTGTTGAGAATGCAACCGCTTGGGATGTGGGGGTCTGTATAGAGAATGTGCCGAGGGATTTTAACATGAAGAAGAAGCCTGAGCTTGGATTCTGGACCATCAAGATGTCTGAAGAGGATGGCCTTATAGCTCTCACTTCTGCCCCTACTCCCCTTCTTCTGAGTGAGAAGCTCCAGCTTGTGGGAGTTTTTCTAGACTATAAAGCTGGAGCTGTATCCTTTTACAATGTAACTGCTGGCTCCCATATCTTCACCTTCCCCAAAGCTTGTTTTATTAGTGATACACTGAGGCCCTTTTTCCAGGTTTATCAACATTCTCCTTTGTTTCTTCCTGCCAGAATGAATCAAAGAAAGAAGTAAAGTCCTCATGGTTTACTTAAGTAGCACAGAAAGAATATTCATAAATCCCAAAAGGCAGAAACTTGGCTGCTCTCCACTGCTATCTCAATGCTTTTAATGAACTTTCAATAAATATGCCTTGAGTTGGTTTGTGGAAAAGGCTAGAAATAGTACAAATGGCCAGATTAATTGAAAGGAAAGTAAAATAATCCTGACAATTATATCTTTTCTTCTCCTTCCCTTTTGAGCAATGATTTTTGACCTTCCTAATGCTGTGACATTTTAACACCTCATGTTGTGGTGACCACCAACCATAAAATTATTTTTGTTGCTACGTCATAACTGTGATTTTGCTACTGGTATGAATGATAATGTAATTTTTTTTTTTTTTTTTGAGAAAGAGGTTTGCCAAGGGGGTGATGATCCATAGCTTGAGAACCCCTGCCTTTTGTGAGTTCAGGACTTTGATTTTAAATACTCTTCAGGCTGGTGTTAAAGCGATCCCAAGGTCAAAAGTTTGGGGTGTTTGCATTTTTTTTCTTTTTATCCATCAAGTTCCTGTGTGAGGGACGAACGAGTGGCAATGCCTTTTAACTGAGTAAAAGGAAAAGAAGTGAAATAGCATTAACTCAACCATTGTTCTTGCTGCTGCTTTGTTAAATTTATTTTCCATCAGGACACCAGAGGCAAAGTTGTATGGGTAAGACCATTTGATACACAGTGACTAGCCAACTAGACCACCCCATTTCAAAGAAGTAGAGCTCAACATATTAAAATAACCCTTTCAAAATGGATTCAAGTACTGAGTGATTCAAAATATACTGCCCCCATGTTCAGATGAAAACCTGGAGGTAATTATTGCTTTCTCTTCATACCGGGCACACCGGTGGGGGATGGTTTTCTAAATTAAATCATTTGAAGTGGGAAAACCAACCTTTGATTTGGGCCACATCATCTGGTGGGAGCCTACATAACGGAAGAAGGAAGTCTCTCTCTCTCTCTCTCTCTCTCTCTCTCTCTCTCTCTCTCTGGCTGCTTGCCTTAGGTCTCTCTGGCATGTCCATTCTTTCATTGTCATTTCAACTTCTTTGGGATTTCAATGTATACTGAAGACCAGCTGAGACATGCAGCTTCGCATACTAAGTAATACTGGATTCTTGGACTTCCCTTTGGTAGACAGCCATTGTTGAACTGGCTGGACCATAGCCTGTAAGTCCCGTTAATAAATCCATGCTTTATTTCTACTCTGTAAAAGGGATAAGGGGACTGAAAAAAATACTTTATAGCATTTTCATCTACAATTAATAATATATTTTGTATGAAATTTTTAGGATATATTTGAAGTTTCTTAGAAAACTACATAATAACAATAAAATTCTTAATTTTTATTCTTTCTTTCTTTCTTTCATCGTTTACATAATCTACACCAGAGCACAAACTCCACAGGGTGCTCTGGGCGGTTCACCAGGCTGTTAGCTAATGCGTTGACCAGTAGATGGCACTCTTGTGTTTTTGGTGCCTCTAGTCATGTAGCCTTGCCTTTAAAAAATGTAAATAATTCTCGGACCAAGATCAAATAAATGTAAAATTCATCTGTCCTTACAAATAATTCTAAACAATTTAAGCCAAAAAAAAAAAATGTTTTTGAGACAGGGTCCCTCTTGAACTCAGAGAGCTCCTTTAGCCTCCAGAGAGCTGAGATTAAAGGCCGGCACCAACACACCTGGCAACAATAATAATATAATTTTCATTCCGATCGACAAAACTCTTTCCTTTTCTTCTCTTTCTCTTTCCTTTAGATAAGGCCTAACTCTGTATCCCAGGCTGTCGTTGAGTTCACTATGTAGCCTGGTCTGGCTGTAGACTTACAGATGCCCTCCTGCCTCAGCCACCCAAGTACCATGTAAGTATGTACTACCATGTGCCATTAGGATTTTATTTGATTGAATTTAGTTTTGAGAGACAGTTTGTAGTCCAAACTGACCTCAAACTCACTCTGTGGCAGATGATGACCTTGATTATTTTTTTGCATCCACCTCTTGAATGCTAGAAATACAGAGGGCATCACACATCCAATTTATGAGACTCCAGTGGTCCAGTAGGGGCTTCATACATGATAGGCAGGGATTCTGCCAACTAAGTTATAATATATCCGTGGCCCCCTGGGTGGTTTTAAATGTCATTTCATGGGAGCCTTGGGTCTTATTTAAGTTCTATTAATTTCTTTTAATTTAGCATTTTTAATATTCAGCCTCATTAGATTCAGGTTTCATCATCCCATCAGATTCCGTGGCAGGTCAACTCTGAAAGTTTTGTACTGGCGTTCAGATTTCTTCTGTGTAGATCATTCGGTGACTATTTAGGGTCCCTTAGTAACATTCTACCCATTGTTCAAATGCAAAATTTAGATCTCTAAAGAAATACGAAGCGAATTTTGAAAATGAAAAGATACAAACTTCTAAAAGAATCCATGTGTGTTCCAGGTTCTCTCGCTTGGATCTTCCTGTAGTTAAAGCTGACATCGGAGTGAAAACCAAAAAGTGAGCAAGGATCATATGAACATTTCATACAGGAGTAGGTCAGGATCCGCTTGATGTTTTTAGATGGTTTAATCTGGCAGTAAGTAAAAGCATTCCCTAGTATTATGAATATTTTCTATGAACCACATTCTTCTGACTCAGATCAATATTGTTTGATGTTGGTCATAGGTGTTATAATACATAATGATGATGCGAGAGGGTACCATGGTGGGCCCATGCCAAGGTGTGCCCCCTGAGAAATTACACCATGGTATGATATGGTATAAAAAAAGTTTATTGGGGTGGGAGAGGAAGGAGACCCTGGAGAAAGGGTAGAATCAGCAAGCGAGCCATATAAGCAGACAGACAGATCAGAATAGAGCCATGAGGGCAGAGAAGAGATGGGCAGAGAGGGAAAGAAAAGGGGCACCTAGGACATAGAGAGAGCTAGAACAGAGGAAACAGAGAGAGAACAAGAGCTGGGGTGGTGAGGGTCCTTTTATCCAGCAGCCATCTGGCAGCGGCAGGTGGTGACAAGGATGTTTCGAGTCCCTGAGGGCAGGCCAGCAGAACGTCCTGCACACTAACAGTAGGTACTGAAGTAGAAGGAGAAGCTCAAGAAGGTGCTAAGCCTTCATCTTCTGAAGGAGCAGAGGGGTTCAGCCTTCTTGGAAAAGACTGAGACCCAGCTAACTCCAGTTACTTTGTTCAAACATATACAAGGTCAATTGGGGATGGAAAAGGTTCCGACTATCAAAGGGATCTTTCTCTTGCTGCCTGTGAGAGCAGACAACCCACACAAATCTCAGCCCCCTTTGATTCTTGCTAGTCACAATCAAAGGTAAGAACTCCGGGTTTCCTAGGAGTGACTAAGATGGAGGTCAGTGCAACTGCACGTTCTCAAGCAGCACCAACCGCAGATTCTCCAGAGAAACAACATTTCTTCAAGGTTAAAACAGCCTCAAAACAATTTCTCAGCCTCTACCGATTAACCCCAAGGCTTTGCTGAAACATTTCATTCAAAGCCAGACACAAAGGCTTTATTATCCATGTCACTACAGATCAATGGTCCAGACTCCGTCAGAGATTAGGGTAGAACTCAACAGGTAACTTACAGGACACAGGAAGGGCACCAACACCAGACCACAGGACAGAGGCATCTGGAAGAGGTCAGATCAGGGAGAGAAAGTGTTAGGGTTTCGCAGTGGAAGAGTACCTTGGCAGATCAGGGCCAAGGAATGCCACAAAGATCGGGCCATGGAACAGATCTCACTCAAGAGATTTATTGGAGAGTGGGGGGAAAGACCACCTCTGAGTGGAGATAAGGGAGAGACGGAGAGAGGGCTATGATGGCGAAGATTTTATAAAGGGTAGGTGACAGTGCAAATGTGTCACATTTGGCTACCGGAGGTGATGTGGCTGCTGGTGCTGAGTCCCTGAAGGCAGGCTGGGGGAGCACCTGGTTCCCAACAGAAGGAGTCCACTAAACATGGCCAGCAGATTGAATTGGGCTGAAAGAAATGAGGTTAGGGGTGAGGGCAAGAAAGGAGGACCAAGAAAGGAAAACAAAAGAGAGGACCAAGAGCACATGGCTGAAATGGCAGGGAAAACCCACAAAATGAAGAAGTTTTGGGTGAGAAGGGCTGAGAAGAGGCACAGGTACAGAGCGAGCCTGGAGGATACCACGGGCTTTGGTATGCTAAAGGCAGCACAGAGAGCAGTTTTCCCTTTCTGAAACTGATAAAGAACAGCTCCTTTGGTAGAAGAAAATGGGTGCCAGGATTGGAGGAGTAGAGTTTTCTTTGGACCTGACGCCAGCCAGCTTCCTTTAAATGATAGTACCTCTGTTCTTGGGATTCCTTTGCCCTATACCTGTGGTCTGACTTTATTTCTACCCCCAAAAGCCTGTTCGGTCTTGCTTTTGTTTTCACTTTTCAGTTAAAAAGACATAGACAAACTAAGAAAACAGACAGACAGACAAAAACAATAACCAGATGGCACCCACTTTCTGACGTCCTTAGATGTCTGGTTTTTATAGTTTTCTTTTGAACAGGCTCTGGTTACAGATACTTGCACGTTTAAAAGGGCCAAAGAGAAAGAATATATAATGGTACGATCTGCAAAAAAAGCCTATAGATTCTTCATCTTATTCTGCCATTGGATAGCTTTATAAGAGAAAATACTTACTAAGCTTTTTCAAGCAGACACGCACAAACCAGTTATGGATATGTACAACATGGGGTTCGGTTCCAAGGAATTTTTTAAATACTGTAAGACAGAGGCTCTGCCGCAGGGCCAGCCATCCTATCAGGCTGAACTATAGACTTGTCATTTGGAGTTACAGGTGTCATCCTGTGGATCCACCATGCCTGTGTAAAGAAAGGAACACGCCCTAGGAGGGAGAAATTTGGACTATGAAAGTCCATCTTGACCAGCCTCTCTGGCTCACTTTCAGAGACAACGGGAACTAGTTCTTCATTCCTGCTCCCACTGTAAATCTGGAAGCTAGGAGGTCTAAGCACAGCAGAAGCTAGAGGAATTCCAGAGGGGACATTTGCAGACCAGGGTCACCATGCTCCCTCCTCCCTTTGGACTCACGGTAATATAATACTACCCATAATGCTTCTGCAGGGCTAGCCGTGAGGGCTCCCAGAACTGGATCTAACACAAAGAGTTTTACGAATTTTGTTGTATCTGCAAATAATAGGTTTGTAAAATTAAAAATATCTGATATCCTTAATGAGTTCTGACTCACTGTGCGTTCAAATAAAATTGTTGTGGATGACATAAATATTTTCCTGAAAGTGAATAGAACCTTACAACTACTAACTTCTAAAAGTTGTGTGTGTGTGCCATTCTGAGTAAAGAATGCTGGTATTATGTTAAATCAGAAGTAATCCAAAATATGGTAAAGAACTAAAAAAATACATAGCCAACAGAAGGGAGGTCCTATAGAGCTTCTCATATTCTTTTTTTTTTAAGGGTTTATTATACACATACACACACACACACACACACACATTCTGACTGCACGTACAACTGCATACCAGAAGAGGGCACCAGACCCCATTTTAGATGGTTTTGAGCCACCATGTCATTGCTGGGAATTGAACTCAGGTCCTCTGGAAGAACAGTCTGTGCTTTTAACCAGCCCCAAGAGTTTCTCACGTTCTTGGAGCAGCTACTGTACATGAAAACCTAGGCTAGTCTCTGACAGGATCTTTTTTCCTGATCATTCCAGGAATATTATTCAGACCATGCATTCTGAACTGTTTGATCCAATTTGTTACTCCTCAGGTAGAAGCCTCCATAAAGCTACAAATGCATACGAACTCAGAGTCAAATTATCACATGGTTAAAGAGGACCCTGGATGTTTGCTTATCTACACTGATTTTGGGGCTAAGAGGGAGTTGTATAACTCATCTTTAGTATGCTGAGAGGACCAGCTAGCTCCAGAGAGACTACATTCTGATCTACAGTTACAGCATCATTTTGAGTCTTTTTTGTTATTGGTGTGTGTGTGTGTTTTTTAACTTTTTCATTGAAAATATTTTTTTTAATACAGTATATTCTGAAATCAGCTTCTCCTCCCACATGTCCTCCCAGATTTTCCCCACCTCCTGACCCATCCAAACCATGCCTTCTTTTTCTTTCAAAAGTAGACAAGCAAATAAAGACAAATAAACAAGCCAGAATTTGAAAATAAAGAACACAAGACACACACACATAAACACAGACACAAATAAAACCCATAAAAACACAAAATCAGAAACCATTATAGACTAGCAAATGACCAGTAAGGTATCTATAATGGCTGTACAAGTTTGCACAGTGGATAAGTGTTCCCTTTCCTGCTCATCCTTGCCAGCATAAGCAGCCACTTGCTTTATTGATCTTGGCCATTATAATTGATAGAAGAGGAAATCTCAAAGAAGTTTTTCAATTTGCATTTCCCTGATGATGAAGGATATTGGCCTTGTTTCTCAGCCATTTGTGACACCGAATTTTAAAGTGGAGCTGCAATTTAATAGCTCCCACCAGGAGGAGTGATGGAGCAGGAACATGAAGAAAAATTGATGCTAAAAAAGAATTTACAATAACTCTCTTAGGACACGTCAAGTTACATAAAGTAGAGTTTCACTAATGGATGCTTCCTCCAACATGACTGGGAAATAAGCAGCGTGCTAACCAGGCCTGTTAAAAACTACTAGAAAGAAAAGTTTGTGCCATAATTGAAGTTTAGGTTGTTGTTAGGGTTGCTGGGAAAACGTTTCTGCTAATGCTTGTTCATCAGGATTGGCCTCCAGTTGGGCCCTGTTCCTTTAACAAAAGGAGAAAAGTCTGGCTTACAACCAGCCACTAGACCCTCGCCCGTGTTAGAGGACATGCTTCTTCTGCACAGGGAGGCAGCACAGGACAACAGTCACCATTAAGTCCTGATTTGCTGTTAAGCCCCCTGTGCTCTTATCAGGAGAAGCATAATTCTGCCAAGTGGATGGGCAGGATGAACCTGGGCGAAAAACAACACTGGTGTGCTTCAGAAATAATCCTGGCAATGTCTTTGTTGTACAAATCTTCCATCTGTCCAAGTGGCCAGACTTCTGTCTCTTTAAGTTGTTCAAAGTATAACCTGGGACCAGGACTAAAGGGAGGTTTAAGAATGACAGTGTATATGGACTGTGTAAGCCCATAGTCTGTATAAACTAGTGGATTTTTATGTTTGAGGCTGGTTCCCTTTTGTGGATTAGCAAGAACATGCAGTATTAAAGAGCCTTTTCTTTTATTAATCTGTGAGTGGAGTGATTTCCCATTGGGAGGGCATATAATTGTGTAACAATGTCTTGCAGACACGTTTGAACACACATCTCAGGCTGAAGAATGAGCACAACTGGGAAATTACACATGAGAGTCACAGTTAAGCCTGACTCTTGCTCCCAAGCCAAGACCAACTTGACACAAGTAAGAATGAGGACATAGCAGAGGGAAAAGTTACAAAAGCTCTACATGATATGAAGATATTCCATGGAGATTTTAGCAAGAGATCACTAAGCATTTCTAAAAGTTTAGGCCCGCAAGAACTGTGGATGGAGCCTCCGTCCCTGTGTCCTTGTCTGCGCCACACTGGAAAAGCCATGAGTGACTGTATCTGATCTCTTTAGACACAAGCCTCTTGCTCAGCTCACATCCCAAGCACTGCCCTTAGCATCTCAGGTCCCAAATGTCAAGAACAAGAGAAAGCCAATGCAAGGTGAAGTCCACGAAGGAAAAATCAGCTCTCTGACTTGAACGCCATGGTAATGAGAGACAGTTAAAAGCTGTCATGGAGAAATAACACAAGGAAAAAGCTTTTTGTCCAGAAAATGGAAGGATCAATGAAGGGACAGCCCAACAAAATGAAATAGAGCAGAAGTGAAGCCAGAGCCATCTGTGTCTCCTGCCCAGGACATGCAATCACTCATGATTTAAGAAACTCATGTGCTTGGTTCTACACAATTTTTAGCTATTTTCTTTTCAACTATTTCTCTCCTCTGCTTGTGGGCCCACCCATCAGTGGTGCACTGAACTCTCTGTCTACTGCCTCTGACCCTCAATTTCAGTTTGCCATTTATCTCTGTTTGCATGCTGAGTACATTCTTCCAGTTTTTTCTCCACTGCTCTAGCACAGCACTCTACCCACTGAGCTGCCTTGCCTTTAGTGCTTAGTCTGCTAACTGAAGAAAAAAAAATTTACTAGTTACAAAAGGAACCAGTTAATCTGCCTCATGTAATAATGTACAAACACATACACACACACACACATACACACCTTCTGGAAGAACATTTAGAAACAATTAGACCCTTTATATGCACGTACTATTTGTTCTATTTATTTAGAAATACATTGCATTCGCTGGGTATAGTGGCACATACTTGTTCTTATAGCATTCCAGTGCTGAGGCACTCTGAAAATAGGTTGAGCGACATAATAAACAAGATTTAAAAAAAAAATCCACTATACTTATGTAAAAGCATCAACTTCACATGACAGATGTGGCTCATCCCTCCTTGGGTGAGATGAGCCCCTCACAGTGCCTCTTTTACATGTGTCACTCACTCTGTCTCCATTGGGGACATTAGGCTATCATGTTTTCATGTCCTTCTATCATGTCTTTCTGTTTTCCTTTCTTCTAATCCAGTAGCCGCTGAATTGTTTATTCAGTGATTTACTCATTTAGGGAGAGTTAATATTTTGTAATGTGAAAGTTTTCCATCTAAGAATATGGTATTTGTCTCTTGTCTTAGTTGCGTGTCTATACTGTGATAAAACACATGACCAAGGTAAATATAGAAGAAATAGTTTATTTGCTCTTACAATCCTAGATGGTTATGGTCTATAGAGGTGGGGACAGCATGACAGCAGACAGAAGAAATGCTTAGCTAGGGTTGGAAGTTGAGAGCTGAGAGCTCACACCTCAAACTCAAGCATGCAGCGGAGAGCTTGCTGGGAATGACACAAGGCTTTGATAGTAAAACCTGAACCCCCAGTGACACACTTCTTCCAATAACGCCACATTTCCTAAGCCTCCCCAAACAGCACCACCAACTGGTGATCAAATATCCAAACATTTGACCACAGAGCGGACATTGATCATTCACACTGTCACAGTTCACAGACAGAGTTTGCCTATGTCCTTTAATTGTTTACTGTTGTTGTTTCCCTTTAAGTCATGCTGTTCTTGTTCTAGTAATTCTTGAAAGTTTTACAGTTTTTGTTACAGGAAACATTGCAACAAAATACTTTTCTATTTTTGTTCTGGGAAGTCTATTTCTGCTATTGGGAAAAGGCAATCAATTTCTTGAAAAGAATTATCATGTTTTAAACCAGCTTACCAAATCCCCCTGGTGGTTTTGCAGTTTAACACCCAGCTGTGAGGAGACATGGGCAGTCCTTCCCCCCTGGTGTTTATTCCTGCAGCCTGTGAAGCCAGCCACAGCCCCACCACCTCCTCCAAGAAGCCTTCCTCTGACACTTGTATGTTGGCAGGGGTCCTTGTTTGCTTTCTCCTACTATCTTGTGCAAGATTGTGTGGCCTGCATTCATTACCCTTCATCCTAGGAGTCTGTCTGTGCACAGCATCATGCAGTGGACTTTGTGCTTTCTGGATAATGGGCCACACACCAAACAAATGCTATTCTCGGAAAATAAGCAGCATGTCTGGGAAGTTCCAAGCCTGAGAAGAATTAAAAAGCATTGCTGTGAAAGTTCTTTCATTAGGGACAGTTGTTAAGAGAAACCTGCATTTTTAAGACGTCACTAGTTCTGTTCTATTGCTCTTGATGTTTGCGAATGTTGCAGATGGAAGACAGTCAACTTTCCCCCGTAATGCTGGAGACTACAGTGGAGGCACCCTGCCAATTAAGCAAGCACACCGTAAATGAGCTACATCCCTAGGTTTCACTATGTAGCTCAATCAAGCCTTGAACTTGAAATCCTCCTGCCTCAGACTCCCAAAGTCTGAATGGTTTAAATGTGCACCGCACTGAGTTTATTTATCAGTGTGTTATGTGCAAAACCACAGTGTGGATGAGGAGTTTGAGTCAGGTTCAAAAACCCCAAATTTGTAACTGATTTAATATAGTACTAATAGGAAATTTATGGAAGCTGGAGAGAGGGTGTTGCGTAGCCCTGCCAGATGAACATCCACCTTGAGGAAAGTTCCTTGAGATGGAGGACATTCAAAGAGAAGTGAACATTCCATACTACAGGGAACCTCCTTCAACCCAGGAAGTAAACAATTCAAAGGCTTCAGGAAGTCCCTGAAACTTAACCAGTACATTAGGTCCTACTCTCTAAACACATATATATATATGCTTATTATATATAGAATATAATATATTAGACCAGCTGAGGTACCCATTCAGTGCTTTCCAGGTTTCTGGTTTTGGTAAGCTATCACCTATTCTGCGCTTGGCTATTGGTGTCGCAGCTCTCATAAACAACCTCCTCACCTATATTCCTGTTAGCAACCAAACTAAAACTCAGTAATTTGCCAAGTTGGACTTCGGTGGCATCGTTACTTTGGTGCGTCCTTTGTTCCCTCTCTAAGTGAGCGGATCTTTGTTCATGGCTCCCCCAGGAAGTGCCACACAACAGATGCCTCAGTGGTTAAGAGCGCACTCTGCTCTTCTGGATTACTGAGTTTGGTTTCCAGAACCCTCATGAGGGCTCCTCAGAGGTACCTGTAACTCCAGTTTCAGGGGCTTCCAGGCTTCCTTGGGTACCCACACATGCCATACATTCATACAGGCACACACACAAATAAAAATAAGAAAATTAATATGGTTTGAATTTTTTAATTAAGAAAATTAATAGAGGCTAATCAGACTGGCTAAGAGTCTGTGTAGTATAGGCCCTTTGGAGGACTATGAAGATAGGACTGGGATCAGAGCTCAACTAGGGTGATTAAAAGCAGAGGAGGCAGGTCCTTGTTTTAGGAGGGACAAGACGAAACAAAAAGATCTATTACCATTCACATCCCAAAACCTAAAAGTCGCAAAACAAACCCAGGAGTCAAGAGCCAAGCAAAAGCATATCAGGAGGACACAGAGCAAAAGAAGATGGGGAGCAGGGCCTTCTCAGAGCCACAGTTCACAGATTCACCTTGGGCACCAGAGGCAAGGGGAGAGTCCAGCTGATGGCCTGGCTCCCTCGGCCGTCTCCTAAGGCCATTTATCTGTCAGCAGACAGATTTCCTCTCATTTGTCGTTGGGAACATCCCAATCCCTGTTTCTTAATGCAGAAGTCAGTTCTAACAGGTGGAGAGCTTGGTCTGCAGACACAGACCTTTCTTTCCTTCCTTCCTTCCTTCCTTCCTCCCTCCCTCCTTCCCTCCCTCCCTCTCTCTCTCTTTCTTTCTTTCTTTCTTTCTTTCTTTCTTTCTTTCTTTCTTTCTTTCTTTCTTTCTTTCCTTTTCTTCTTTTTTTTTTCCTTTCAAGACAGGGTTTCTCTGTGTAGCCTTGGCTGTCCTGTACTCACTTTGTAAATCAGGCTGGCTTCAAACTCACAGAGGATCTGCCTCTGCCTTTCTGAGTGCTGGGATTAAAGGCGTGTCCCATCACACCTAGCTGATGCAGGCACATTTTATCAAAATGTCCTTACTTGCTATATGCTCATGTAGTTATCCATGGATCTGAGATGGTCTACCATGGGCTGAGTGGGGACATGGTGGCTGTTACTGCTCTTGTTCATGTCAGTGACATTTGACAATGTGGAACTTGCAGTGGCCCAGGAATACCTCATACTTCTGTTTCATGCGAACAGTCCCATGGGGTAATATTGTCCCCTCTTTCCCTAGGGGTGAAGGTGCAGATGACCTCAGAGATCCAGGCTCAGGAGCCCAGCTTCTGCTTCCATTCCATAGCACTTTCCTCTTTCAGGTCCAGCCCTGGCTTGTTGACTGAACGGCTGTGTGCATAGTTCGAAGCAGAAAAACATAGTGACAAATTTGAGATATTCACTAGGTCAGTGAGAACTTTAGAAAGCGAAGTTAAAAATTAAGCAGCCAAGCCAAATCCAGACAGTTTCCCTGTCCGGAGAGCACAGGGTCAAACCTGGTAGTGTCCCCTTCCCACGTGACTCACTGTGTTTCCCTGTGAAGTGGAGAAGGGACAGGAACGCCTCTTTTTTTTTTTAAGCTAGCTTTTTAGTCTAGAGCTTAAAACACAAAGTTTAATGGTGAAGGTAAGTTTTTTTTTTTTTTTCTTCTCTTAAGTGGGATGTTAATTACTGAGCTGTCAGAGATGTATTCAAGGGAGGAAGTAATTTTATAAGAACTCAAAACCACACCAACTGCAGCCTGAGGACCTCCATTTGGGAATGGTATCTGGTTCCAAGAAGAGGCTTTCTTACAAAATAACTATCCAATCAAGATTCTAAGACTTGGGAAGCGACTGGTGCCAAGGGCCAAGAGTGGACAGTGGTCACCAGCCAGAGGAACCTGTGAGTGTTGGCTGTGGTGTGTAGATGTGCCCAGTTGGCTTTCACTGTGGAATGAAATGCTGAACCAGAACTGACAAGGTTTGGCTTTGGGACTGCTGTTAATGAGTCTTTTCCAGTTTCAATATACTTGATCTTGCCTCTCAAGAAAAGGAGATAGGGAGAAGTCTGAGTAAGATGAAAATCATGACAAATGAATGTTTCTAGAAGGCTTGCTGCCTTTGTCCGGTTAAGGGGTTCCCGAGTAGACTATGGTAAGTACCTGTTATGAGTGGGGGCCATAGCAGACAGGATTCAGTAAGGATGGACAACTCTCTTGTCTTACCCAGTGGGAAAACTGACTAGAACACACAGTTCCTGACTTACAAGGAGAACCGCACAAGGCTACTCCTGAACCGTGAGCCCCTGAGGACCGCGCTATGGTTGAAGTGTGCGTTTCAGCGTAGCCCTGACTTCCGGAATTTTAATTTTCCACTTCTGGATATAGAACATCTTTTTTTTTTTTTTCCCATGACTTAACTTACAGTAACATTGGTTGAGTGACCTATTAATACACGGAATAGCTCTTTTTATTTCCAGACTACCAGTTTCTTAGACTCAGGGGAGTATGTTTCTCAGATTCTTTTTGATCTGTGTCATGTTAAGCACCCTCCTTATCCAAGGCAGAAGAGCTTACTTTAAAAAGAAAGTTTACAACCAACTATTTTATCAAAATATTGCTATCTGCTATATGCCTATATTTGTTCATGGATCTGAGACGGTCTAACATGAGCTGAGTGGGGACACAGTGGCTGTTACTGCTGTTATTAATATCAACGACATTCGACAAGGTGGAACTCCTTGCAGCAGCCCATGCACACCTCATAGTTTTGTTCTCATGCAAACAGTCCCATGAGGTACTACTGTCCCCTCTTCCCCTCTAAAACAATTACGGCTCTGAGAGTTTATGAAACTTGCTACGGTTTGCACAGAGTGGGAACTTGGGCTCTGAACTTATGGAAGCTCCTGATATTTGAGTAATATGCAACATTTGCTCTGAATAAACCAAGAGACTGGGCCAACAAAATTATGCAAGATAAGCAAGTTGTTAGAGGAATACAAAGAGGACTAGAAACACCATTGCGACAAAATAATGAATTGTAGACTAAGAAGCATAGGAGGAAGCCACTTATGCAACCATGTCTATATTCCCATCCCCCTCAAAATATACATATCATGTCTTCCTTATGCATAACCATAATGTCTGTATTATAGTTTCCCCCTAAACACAGCCTGAACTGCTGCAACCCTTTTTAAATATAAATTTTTCCTTAACTTAATCTCACTTCAGTGTTTATAGGTCTACCTGCAACTTTTATTAAGATTCACTGTCATTTCCTGAATGAGAAGGTCTTTGAAAATTTACATGACTTCAATAGTTTACAGCTACCCTCAGGATAATTCTACTGTCATCATCAATCATACTAATGACCTGTGACTTCATGAGCCCTAGTGATTGTTTTAGAAGCGTGATTTTCATTATTATGTCACAGGAAAACTAAACTTTCGAATGGCCAATCTTTACATTTGTCTTATGAAAACAAAATAATGGAAAGCTAGTAGACAAAATTCGAAGTAATACTTGAATGCAGTAGAAGCTGTATGACTACGCCCCCACACACACACCTCCCTTTCCCCACCCCAACCCCAGTGATGGTGGAATGTAGCTGAGAGGCAAAATGCTTGGCTGGCATGCATGAGATTCTAGGTCATTCCTTGGGGGAAACAATAAGGCTCTTAGGACTGTTCATTCCCTTGCCTTAGACTAAAACAGAATGGGCAGAATAGCTTCCACTAACAGAAACAACAAGAGATAATTAGAGCATTTTTCTTTAATATTCAAATCAAAATTCAACTTGAACTACTTATCATCAAATTTCCTCTGGGAACAAATGATTAAAATTTAGAATACGTCAAAATGAAGCTAGCTGTTGTTTTTTAAATTTAAGTTTAAGCTGCTAAGAAAGTAAAAGGAGGCTGTACTAATAGAAAAACAAGCAGTCTGGCCTTTGGGAGAGCAGGCACTGACTCTGTGAACTGTAAGGATGAGGCAACTTCCCAATCTTCTGCACAAGTTTTATCACCAGTGAAATGCATACCTGGAGCAAAAGATCTGTGTCCTTTTTTTCTAAAGTTGTGTGTAGAGCTGTGGACCGAATCCTGGCATCATCCAGATTTAGTGAGACTTGGAAGTCTCTCTAAATTGGTCAGAGCAACCAGCCAACATCTGTAGTGAGCCCACGTGTGCGTGTGGGTCCGTTGTGATACAATAAAGTTTCAGTTAATCTCAGCTTTCAGGAGGCTAAAACAGGAGATCAGAAGTTCAGCCTGAGCCACATAGTGACTGTCTCAAAGGAAAAAAAAAGAAAGAAAGAAAAAGAAAAAATAACAAGAATATCTTAAAAACATAGATGTCTAATAGTTATTTATAAATAAATTTGGTTCCTTCCATGTATTAGTTATCTGCCAACCTTTTTAAAAAGACACGGCTGAGTTGGTGAGATAGCTCAATCTGTAAAATGATTGCTGTACAATCGGGAGACCTAGGTTCAAACCCCAGCTTCTACACACAAAACAAAGGCTTGGTGCATGTGCTTGTCATCCTCATGGTAAAGAGGTAGGGACAGAAGGAGCCCTGAGGCTTGTGGTTAGCCAGCCTTCCCCAGTTTGCAAACCCAGATCCTGGTGACACCCTAACTCTTGGAGAATGACATGTGAGTCTGACCTCTGGCTCCCACATCCACCTCACATACATGCACACAACCTGCATATACATGAACACACACACACACACACACACACACACACACACACACACACCTGCACGTAAGACATCATAATTGTGAAAAATAATAAACAATAAAGTTAAAGCAACTCCCAGAGTCTGTCCCTTGGGAACAGCCACGGTTGCACGTGTGTAAATTCATTTCTCTGCATGAGGGTCACATCATCCTTCCCTCAGTACAAGTGCTTCCTTGATATGATCTTCATAGATTTAAAAACATTGTTTTAACAAAATCCAGGATAAGAAGCCATCAGAACTGAACCTCTGGACCTCTACTGTGTGATTTCTGTGTCTCCAACATTCTTTTTTTATATATAAAAATTATAATAGACATTTGGAATAAAATTCCTTATCTATGTCTTCCATTATGATCCTCTGTCTGAGGCCACAGATTATGTGAAGTTTTAGGAGTGTGGGAATATCTCTTTAAATTTAGATTTAGAAAGTACAAAATCCTGAGTTATGAAGCATAAATATGATGCAGATGGTTTTAACAGTCATGGAATATACAGTCTAAAATGGATATAATTTAGAACATTTTTAGAATGTGGATTCTTCCCTAAAAGAAGCAAATGTTTAATATCCTTCCCAAAGAGATACAAATACTGAAATTAAACATGTCCATGTTTGGGGCCATAAATTTTATTTGCTTTCCAAAGTAACTAAATTAATTTATTATTACAGCAGAAACCTTCCATTCAGCCTAATTTTATAGATGTTTTAAAGATATTGTCAGCTCAAAAAAATGCTCATTTTATGTGTAGTAAAGAATTTTTTAATTATGGAAGGAAAGTCAAGGCTTCAGGAACTGCAAACAGCTGCTTATATTACATCTGCCCTTAGTCGGAAGAAGGGAGTAATGCATGCATGGATGCTAGTGCTCGTCTCTTTTTCTACTCTTATGCAGTCCAGGGTCCCCTGCCTATGGAATGGTACTACCCACATTGGATGATTCTTCTTATCTCCATTAACATAAGAAACTCTCATACAAGGGAACCCATAGGCCCATCTCTCAAGTGATTCTAGGTTCTACCAAGTTGACCATTAACACTGACCATCACAACACGTGAAGGTCCAGGCAGCATCTTCAAAGAAGATGCCACAGAACACTTCTTGTCCAGAGGGAACCAAAAACAGAAAAAGGAAAAAGGAAAAGAAAGCTCAGCAAAGTCTGCTTTGAAACCTTCTTCAGCTCTTTGGCTTGACAGTCCTATTTTATGGTCTGCTATAATAATATATCCTAGCATTGCATGGTTCTCTGTGGTTTGGTAAAGCCTTTGCAACTTCCTTCTTTCAGTTTTATAGCACCACTCAGAAAGCAAGCTTATTAAACAGATGCAAAAATGACTGGTTATAGAATTCAAACAATTTGCTCTAAGGATTTACGGTTACATTTCCTCATAAAACATAGTCCACTGAAAGCATAGTCAGAATCTCTGAGGGCCAGAATGTGGAAGTCCTGAAGCAAAACAAACAGCAAATGCCCACCTCGTCCTGATCCCTAGAGCAGACAGCATTGGCAGAAGGCTGTGTGTCATTTCTTGTATGATGTTCTTTTCATAGGTCAAAGCCTGTCGTGGTGACAGTGATTTGGGGCAGAGGGAAACTCCGCCACAAAGTGCACATCATTCTCTGGAGAAGCAAAATGGATGAGAAGCCTACCACTGTGAAAGGTAAGGCCACTGTCCTTGTTTACAGGTAGTTATAGAAGACTCAGTGCTTGGCTCCAGCTTCGTCACCCAGGCCTGCTGTCCTTCCTCTGCTTTTTCATTATCTTGCTCCTCTGGATGCTCTTAGTGTAATATCAGACCCGGCCTCAATCCCAAGGTGCCATTTGCTGTTCTCTTGCTAGGAGACACAATGTGTTAGTTTTGCAAAAATTGAACCAAATGATCAATAAATCCCATATCTAAGGAACTAGATGAGTTTTGAACAAGTGATTTTAAGGCAGTCAGCTTAGGCATAGATACCCATGGAACATATTTGCCACATGTGTGGCCACTTCCTCTGAGGTTGGCAACTCAAATTGATATTGAAATAATTCATTTGCAGGCAACTAGTTCTACCCCTGAGGTTTCATGGAGATTTCTTCCATTTATTTTTATGTTTCTTTACAGATCCTGTTTGTGTCCCACAAGTCACAGTTTTCCACATATGCAGGGGGGAAAAGCCTAACCCTCTAGTCACATGGAAGTCCTTCTGATATTGGCCCATTGCTCTATTTTGTTGGGAACAGATACAGAATGTCAGTACATGCACTATACACATATATACATTGGAAGTAGGTTGAATGCATAAAGTGTTACAACTCCACCAAAAACTACTCTGTATCACTTTACCTATAAGTTCAGTAAAATTGCTTCTACATATTTGTTTGAAAAGCTGAAGAACCACAAAGGCAAGGTCTAGCAATACATGGAGGGTGAAGGAAGGAGTCAATAAAGTTCTCATAGTGCTGTGAAGTATCAGCTCCCATCTGGGCGTGCTGGTGAACACCTGCAGTCCCAGATGTTTAAGAGGCTGAACTGGGGGTGGCACTTGGGCCTATGAATTCCAAGCTAGTTTGGATAACAAATTAAGACCTGGTCTCAATGAAAAGAAGAGCAAGAAAAGTGGGATAGTAGGGGAGAAAGTTCAGAATGAAAAAGGAGAAGAATGTTATTCCTCTGTTCAAAGGAGAATTCTCAGACAGGGAAGTGATACCTCTGAAAGGCAGCTGTCAATGTAAAAATCTCACAAGCTCCATGAGAAATGAATGTGTTAAATGAGATGGACCACCTCCTTGCAATGATGAGAGCTGGCATTCATGGTTGGCTCTGCCATTGTCTTCCCCCATCTCTTATTTTAGAGCAATGTAGCATGAGATCCCTACATTAAGGTTTTTCTTTTAATCAGCAACTGTCCCCACACCTCTAAGATTTGCAAGATCCTAAACTCGTCATGCTCATTGTATTAAAGTCAACAAAAATACTATGGCAAAAGAGTTTGGAGAAAATATTTTGGTGAAAAGAGGGCATCGGGATTAGCTGGGTCTGATGACAACTGGTCTGTAGTTCCAGCATCATGAAAGGCTGAGGCAGGAGAGATGGCAAGTTCAAGGTCTTCTTGGGCTACAAAGTAATTTCAAAGTCAATCTGGGCAACTTAACAAGACCAGTCTTGAAGGCATCCTAAAAAGGGCTGAGACTGAAGCTCAGTGATAGACTGCTTGCTTGATAAGTACATGCAAAGCCTGAATTCAATCCCCAGGATAAAAAAGAAACAAACAAAAAGGATGAAAAGAAAGCAAAAAAAAAAAAAAAAAAAAAAAAAAAAAAAAAAAAAAAAAAAAAAAAGATAAAATGGTATCGAGTGGTGTCATCTGGAGTTCCTTCAGATTTAACTGTGGAAGAAGTGGAGAGGAGAGGTTCCCGTTAGGGTGTTCACTGTGTAACTCTGTGTACTGCCTAGGGTCAGGTTTCTGCTCAATACGCTATGCGCTGGCTCTCATCATGCACTTCTCCAACTTCACCATGATAACGCAGCGTGTGAGTCTGAGCATTGCCATGATCGCCATGGTGAACAGCACACAGCATCAGGACCCAGCTAATGCACACAGCGAGGGGCCTTGGATAGACCCCAGTAACCAGAGCAGAGGCGTCAAGGACTTTAGCACCCGGGTGAGTGTGGTGGAGAAAAGACTGTGTGTTGAGAGAAAATAACAGTGGCAAAAAGGAAGAACAGGAAAGGGAGGCTCAGGCTTGTCTCTGCAGGGTCTAGAATTCAATTGTAAACTGAAAAAGACTGACATGATTTTTGCGGCATTGCTTGAGTCTGTGTTAGTAATACTCTTTCACTGAAGTAACATTACAAAGGAACTGTAAGAAAAATATAAACAATTTAAAAATAGGAAAAATAAACTACTTGGGTATCTACAGAGAAAAGCTGGTTATTGTCTAGGGAACCCTTCTGGGTTACCCGATTCTGTTGATCCCCCTGCAGCTTTCATAATTTTTTTTTTTTAAGTTATTTATAGCTCTCCAGATTCTCTAAGATGAATAGAAATGCTTATGATTCCGGCCTGGCGGAGAATCAGTCTCCACTCTTCTCCAGTCAGCAGCTCCCCGGCTCTGGCTGAGTAAGGCGGTTTGTCATCTATTTAAATTCCTTCCCAGCATTTCTGTCGAGGTTATATATGTGTGGTTCTTTTCACAAGCCACCATGTTTACCAACTCCCTCAAAATCAACGCGTTACATAGTACCTTTATCACGCACGAGTTCACTGCATGTTTGCATAAGAGTCATCAAGAGACCCTATTTTTTGCAAGCCTCCTTGAACCTGCCACTTATTACACTTTCCTAATGCCATCCCTGGTATTCATGAGTCATGATGGCATTATAACTCCCCTGCTCATTTACTCTCCTGTGCTCGGGAACTCAGGGCACCTGAGACTGACGTGTCTGGACACTGAGTTCCACCAGAGCCTGCGTTTCCTCCTCAGCACACACCCACGCACCAATGCCTGCTCTGAGCCAGTCCCTGTCACTGTCAGTATGGGAGCAGTTTATACCTTAGATGCTGCAAGTCTACTTTTGCCTTTTACCCGGTGGGAATTCATTTCCTCGCTCTCTTCTCACGAATAGCAGGCATTTTTCAAAAGACGGCTTGAAAGTGCTCCTAATGTTCTCTTCTGTTTATGTCCATCCTCAAAGGTTAATTTTAATATGAGTCATATACTCTGAATTATAGTAATCTTTTGTTGTTGTTTATGTTTTGAAAGAGGGCCCCTCTATGTAGCCCTGGCTGCCCTGGTACTTGCCACGTAGACAAAGCTGGCCTCGAACTCATGGAAATTTGCCTGCCTTTGCCTCCTTAGTGCTGGGGTTAAAGGCAGGTTTCACCAATGCCTGGCTGGTAAGAGTTACCTTAAGTGAATAAAATATTTCTCGTTTTATATTCTTTGGTGATATAGTTTATGAGTCCAGATCTAAATATCTAGAGACTATCAATGTATTGCGTTATGTCAAAATAATTTACTCACTCATAATGTATATTTTGGGCTGGGGGCGTGTCTCGAGACAGGGTTTCTCTGTGTAGACTTGGATGTCCTGGACTTGCTTTGTAGACCAGGCTGGCCTCTTTGTAGACCAGTGGTCTACTTGCCTCTAACTCCTTGAGTGCTGCCATGAAAGGCGTGTGCCACCATGCTCGGCTCCTAATGTCTATCTTAATAACTTGGTTCTTCTAGGCAGACCAGACTATACATAACAACTGAACTTGTTGTGGTTTTTTTTTCAACCAGAGGTTAATTTTGATAAGAAATCAGCAAAGTTGTGTTCACTTTATTCAATGAGAGCGAGCCAGTGGCACTCAAGTTTCAAAAGAAGCTCTTGAACACATACGCCACCCTGCAGTGGCTGCTGCTGTTTTCATCTACTCATCAATGTGATCGATTATCTTTTTTTTTAAATTTTTTTTAATTTTTTATTTTTCTGTGTATCAATGTTTGTCAGCATGTATGTACGTGTGTCCTCCACATATGTGCCCTTCACATATGTCCACAGAAGCCAAAAAAAAAAAAAAAAAAAAACAAAACTATGTTATATCCACTGGATCTAGAGTTACAGACAACTGTGAGCCACTTGTGGGTTCTGGGAATGGAATCTGAGTCCTCTGCTAGAGCAGCAGAGTATCCTTAGCAGCCAAGGCATCCTTCATGTATCTTTATCTTTATTCTTACATTTTGAATTGTTCCTCCTCTCAAGGGAAACAAATTAGGGACAGAGTTGGTTATTTGTAAAAATACAATAAAATAAAATGACATAATAAATTAGGTAAAAATCTGAGAAAAAAAGCCTAAAGCAAAATAAATATTTTTATAATAGAATCTCTTGAACACAGAACAACTTTGAGTATAAAATAAATTTTCAAATCAGGACTTCTTAGAAAAGAGGATTCTCCTACTCTCCCCTTTTCTTTTGCAGGCTGCTGTTTATCAGTGGAGCACAGAAACTCAGGGCATCATCTTTAGCTCCATCAGCTATGGAATCATACTGACGTTAATACCAAGTGGCTACTTGGCGGGGATATTTGGAGCAAAGCAGATACTTGGTGCTGGTTTGCTGGTCTCATCCCTGCTCACGCTGTTTACTCCACTGGCTGCTAACTTTGGGGTGATTTTGGTCATCATCATTCGCACAGTCCAGGGGATGGCCCAGGTATCCAGATATTTTCTCAGACTGAGTGGGTTACAGATTTCCAGCATCCGCAAAACAAAAAAGATCTTAATGACTTTGTTGCAGGGAATGGCGTGGACCGGTCAGTTTACAATTTGGGCGAAGTGGGCTCCTCCACTTGAACGGAGCAAGCTCACCAGCATTGCAGGCTCAGGTGAGGACGTGTGTGTATGCCAGAGGGTTGTTATTTGCTCTGTCCTTCTGTGACTCAAACGATTTATTTCAACAGCCAAGAAAAACATAGGCCAACATAAGACAATTACATAACAAAAGAGAACTATACATGTGTGCTGTAAAGCATCAGGCTCAGAAGCAGGGACCAGCACTGTGACCTAGGTCTGTCAACCTAGCATCATGGGAAAAAAATTTTGAGCTTTATAAAAGGTAGAAATGAAGCTGGTCACCAGAGGCTCTGCCTTGTCATCCCAACACTTGGAAGGCAGAGGCAGAAGGATTGTGAGTTTGAAGTCAGTTTACATAATAGTGTAAGACTCTGTCTCAAGAAAAAAAAAAGCATAAGTGGAAAAACATGACTTTATAGTCATATTTCAAGAAAATATTGGAGAACAAAATAAGAACTCAGAGAGGCCAAGAGCAAAATCAACTGGAAGATGAAGTATCCACAGCACTCTACCATTCTGAGCTAAGTAATCCATATCACTCCCTGATGTATGTGCTATTTTTGTGCTTTTATTTTCCAGAGAAGGGGGTTAGTGTATGTAGAGATTAAGTAAATGGACCAAACACAAACAGTAGGTGGTAGAGTCACAATTTGAGCCGAGAGCACATGTTCTTGAACATAATGCAAGAAAGAGCCTCCACAATGTGTGGTCTCTCACTGGGGTCTTCACAAGTGCATTCTCGTGGTCTGGAATGCCAGTGACAAACTAAGGTATTTAGATTTGGTCACGCTGGTATTGAGGAGTCACTGAAAAACCAGGAAGATGGGTCACTATGACTTTTGAATTCCAATGACTTCATTATAATGTCGTTGGGGGAAACCTCAGAGCAGCTTGCAGACCTGAGGATACCAGTGCAAAGGACAGAACTGAGGTTCTATCAACACCTCACTCCTGGGTCCAGAGCAAGACACATCCTGCAGCCTTACTCCCTCATAGAAACTCCCCTGCCTGCTTCTCCGTCACCACTGTCATGACTCCCAGCTAGCCTTTCTTCTCCGGCTGAATTTCTCCTCTTTCCACCAACACAAATTTATCTTTTGTGCTGCTGGGGCTCATCAGCTTGAGTACCTTCCGTTAGCCCCTTTACAACTACAGAATAAAGACTCACCTCCTTATTACACCGATAGATGTTCAGGCATCTTGTTCCAGCGGGCTGTCCACTCAACTCCCTCTGCAAGTAAGGCTCTGGTCACTAGTAAGGCTACTGCTGTTGTCACTCCCCCATGGCCCTCTGCTCCCAGGTTCACAGCTTTAAATCACCAAAACCCTAGATATTTACTGCCTTCTTCACACACACACACTTCCATTTGCTTGTAATTTAACTTTACCTGTTCCCATTGCACAGTATAATTTTATTATTACATTTACATTCCAATATCGCTTTTCAAATTAAAGACATACAACTGTTTAATGATATCAATTTAGTGGGAGCAAAACCTAGAATTTAAAACGTGAAGATGAATAAAGGAGAGGATAGGGCGGGTTAGGAGAGGTTGGGATGGGATGGGACGGGACAGGACAGGACAGGATACAATATGATACGATACAATACAATATAATAGGATGGAATAGGAGAGAAAGAAGGAGAGCAGAGGAGAGGAGAGGAGAGGAGAGGAGAGCAGAGGAGAGGTCGTACTGCTTTGACATTGTACAGATGACTATTAAATCGTAAAACCTTCTGAGGTTTGTACAAGTGGCTGTATGTGCAAGTGTTTGCGTACGCTAAGTATGGGTGATGTTGCTATATAAAAAGCATTTCCTACTGTGAATCTATACGATACTTACCTGTAATTATTGTTCAGTTTTGTTTATTTGTTGCTTATTTGAGACAAGGTTTTACTAGACAGCCATAGCTGGCCTGTTACTCTCTTTTGACAGAGACCCTTCAGCCTCTGCCTCACCAGTGCTGGGATTAAACATGTGCCACTATGCTAGCCTTAAAGCTACATATCTCTTTTAAAGGTTTATTTATTTATTATTTATACAGTATATAGTATTCTGCATGCATGTGCGCCTGTAAGCCAGAAAGAGAGCACCAGATCACAGCATAGATGGTTGTGAACCACCATGTGGTTGCTGGGAATTGAACTCAGGACCTTTGGAAGAACAGCAAGTGCTCTTAACCTCTGAGCCATCTCTCCAGCCTGGCCTGTTACTCTTGATGAAGTTCATAGAAGCCTCAAATTCATGTCAATCCTTTTTCCTGAGACTCCTGAGTGCTGCAATTGTGGTGATACACCACCACGCCTGGCTGTTGCTATTGTCAGTGTGGACACCAGGGTCCAATTGCAATCCGGTTAGAATACATTTGTGATAGTGAATTTTGCTCAATATTCTCTCACCAATTAGGGCAAAATCTCTTTGAAGGCAGGGACTGTGCCTCTTTAATTTTGGGAAGTCTTTACTTTTCTGCACCCCGCCTCACATCCACCATGGTGAGTTGTACTTGCAGAGAGTTTCTATGATGAGCCGAGAAGCGAGTGTTGGCCACACTGCTGTTCAGGAGCCGCTACTGAAGTAAACTATTGTTTATGACAGTGCTCGTTGTGTCGCACGGTGTTGGGAGAGTCTAGTGAACAGGAATAAATCCTGTCATCACCCAATAATTCCAAATCAGCGTAGGGACAATGTCCTCATTCTAGCCATTGCCATCTCCATGAGGGGTTTTCTCTGTCTTCTCTTTAGGGGCAGCATTTGGGTCCTTCATCATCCTCTGTGTTGGGGGACTAATCTCACAGGCACTGGGCTGGCCTTTTATCTTCTACATCTTTGGTGAGTCACTACTCTTACGTCACTACACTGCCACTCCTCGGGCATTTATTTTAAGACGTACATCACTCAGCCTCTCCCCACGTCCTTTGTTAAATGGAAAATGATAAAGAATGCTGAGGATCACTATCTTTCTGAATATAGTACATGTATCTTGGTCTCATAATTCCCAGTGGTTTGGACAAACCACATGAGCAGAACAGACAAGATCACTCTCCACATCCCAGTTTTTGAGAAATCAGTTACAAAGCCTTTTCTTTCTACAACATGTACCTGCCCAGCATTTCTACCACCACATCTGGCTTCATGATGCTGTGCAGTTAAGACATCAAAGCTGATTGAAATCACCTTCAGCATGCCTTCATGTTTTGTGATAATTGTTACCTTTATCCAATATGCCTTTAGCCTATTCTCTAACACATGAATTATGCAAAACTTAATTCAGATGTTCCTCCCTTCGGGGGATCTTCTGCACCTTATCCATCAGGCTCGTCCAGTCTTCCCTCTAGGATTCTTACCAGCACTGCCCTTTCAGGTTATATGGTGTTTCTCATCTCCTCACAAAACTGTGAAATACTTAAAGCAGCCATTATACAATGTTTTCCAGATTGCTTTGATAATCATAGTATATGAATATGAATTCAGAATATGAATTAGTTCCCAGTAAAAATAGACATAGATATTATTTAGATATTATTATTAAGAATATATTATTATTATACAGATATCTAAATAGAATTAAACAATAGCTTAATCCAATGATAAGGGAGGTATTTAAAGAACAATTAATCCTCACAATATCTTTTAACATATAATATTTTTGAAATTTGCCAGGTAATGGTGGCACCGATATCCTTTAATCTCAGCACTCTGGAGGCAGAGTGAGGCAGAATTCTCTAAGATTGAGGCCCACTTGCTCTACAGAGTGAATTCCAGGACAGCCAGGACTACACAGAGAAACTCTGTCTCAAAAAAGCCAAAGAAGATAAGAAATGTTTTGAAATGGCAAAATCCCAATAAGGGGGTGATTTCCTATAGTTTGTTCTTTTGTTTTAGTCTAATGGTATGGTTAAACATATTCCTGGCTCAAGGAGCATTCTCACTAACAATGTGAGATTTTGTTTCACATATGTTAACCAGGCATGGAGGAGTTACTCCTGTTGGAACTCTTTAAGGGATCTAGAGTTTGAATACAAATAGCAATCTCTTGCAAACATATTAGGAATATTCCTGTGGCACAATGACTGATTTTTGTGGCAAGTGGTTTCATGTATGCATAACTGCTTTTTCTCCAGTTCTGACCACACAAACCAAAACAAGACAATGATAAATGTGCCAAGAAATGGCTGTTAAGATCACATACAACTATAGACACTGGGTCCTTAAGCCTTGGCTGTACTGTGATTTAATTCATGATCACATGACCTCCAAGATGCTGACACTGATGAAAAGCAAGACTATTTTTGAGAGCTGGCATCTAAAAAGGTTCGATAGAAGGAGCTCTATAGGGTGGAAACGAAGAACTGGGAAGTCTAGTTCTGTGTGGTGGAATAATGCCAGGTTGATATGTGTGGTAGAAAGGGTTTGATATTTCAGACGAAACCGTATTCTTCCAATATATGAATCTACCTTAAAAGTAACTGCATTCCCCCACCTTCCCAGGTAGCATTGGCTGCGTCTGCTGTGTCCTGTGGTTTACGGTGATTTATGATGACCCCATTCATCACCCGTGCATAAGTGCAAGGGAAAAGGAACACATCACATCCTCTCTGGCTCAGCAGGTACCCTGCACCCTCTCCCTCTACCCATGGACCATGGGGAGGTCTGCAGGGCACTGTCTCTAGGAAGACCTATTCTAGTGCCGATGTTGATTTGATGTTCTTTTCAGTCTAGCTCTCCCAGAAGATCCGTCCCCATAAAGGCTATGGTCAGATGCCTGCCCCTATGGGCCATTTTCATGGGTTTTTTCAGTCATTTCTGGCTATGCACCATAATCATAACGTACCTACCGACGTACATCAGTACAGTGCTTCACGTTAACATCAGAGATGTGAGTACACTCCTCTGCTCCGATTATGACAAGGGTGACTGTAGTCCTGCGCTGTCCGCTATATTCTCGTGTATAGAATCACTTCGCCGTCACAGTGACGGTGCCAGAGGCAGTGCCATGATTCTCATTTCACAACAGTGGAGTTGGAACACTCCGAGGTGAGATAATTTGCCTTGGGTTTCGCAGCTCCTGCGTCTACTGCGTGGTGGAGCTGGGTTCTTAACCGATATAATCTTCCGCCACGCCCACTGGTCCAGAAGTTTTCCCCGGAAACTGGCATCCCTTTTCTTAGGCGTTGGTTCTCTTTCCTAAGACAATGTTCTCCCAGCGTGGCAAAGGTGCTAGTTTCCCTTGAACAACTCGGAACGTTGGAGGTTAGGCTAAAATCAGTCTGTGTGATAAATGCTGGCGCCCTGCGCCGCTCTGTGATGTTCTCTGTACATTTCCTTCTTTCAGAGTGGGGTTCTGTCTTCCCTGCCTTTTATTGCTGCCTCAAGCTGTACAATTTTAGGAGGTCAGATGGCAGATTTCCTTCTGTCCAGGAATCTTCTCAGCTTAATCACAGTTCGAAAACTCTTTTCATCCCTGGGTAAGGATAGGTGTGTGGATTCAGGTAACCACTCCCCTTCCTGCGCGTGCTTTGAGAAGCCTCTTGACCGCGTCTTCATTCTCCAGGGCTGCTCCTTCCCTCGCTCTGTGCTGTGGCCCTGCCCTTTGTGACTTCCAGTTACATAGCAACCATTGTTTTGCTGATACTCATTCCTGGGACCAGCAATTTGTGTGACTCAGGGTTCATCATCAACACCCTAGATGTTGCCCCCAGGTAAGGGCTTTGCTTGTCGCTGGCCTTTATCAGACCACTCAGGTGATGGTAGATCTCAGCTGCCAACGCCAGTGTGCAAAACCTGTCCGCTGTTGGCGTGGGCTAAATCAAAGTGGAGTGACAGGTGACTAGAAATGTTGGTTCACAGCCGCGACCGTGTGTCTCATTCCCGAGTAGAGAAAGTTTTTCAAGCTCCCCGACAAGAGATTAGACTGTGTGTTTTGGGAAAGGGCCACAGACATCTGTTTTGGACATTTCCAGGGTGTTTATCATATCGGCCACCACACACAGACTACTCACTCAGAGCCAGACCTCTGCTAACACAGTCTCAGAAATCAATACATGTCATCAACACAAATACCTTAGGTAGATCCTATTATGACCCTCTAGTTCAGGGAGAAGAGACTAAAGTGCAAGTGTATATGAGCTGTATCCGTGGTCACACAAGGACAGAGCCAGGGTCTAAAGGTATACCGTGTAGCTTCAGGGTTGGATGCTGATACTGGTCTGGTACGCAAACTGCCTTCTGCACTGAGCAGTGTTTAAAAAAAAAATTCCCACAGAAACTAATCCTATGGTTATTCTAACTATTGATTCAGGGGACAGATGATTTCAAAGACATCTCTTCGAATGTCTTTGGGTAACAAAAACCTCACTAGGATAGGTGACCTGGCCATTAGAAATGTGATTCATGAAGGTTGAACAACTGCTTGTGTCATGGATGGGTTTCTACATAAAATCATCTTCTCCACAGATATGCAAGTTTCCTCATGGGCATCTCAAGGGGATTTGGGCTTACTGCAGGAATCATCTCTTCTACTACCACCGGATTCCTCATCAGTCAGGTTGGGCATGTTATTGAACATCTGCGAGTAGCAGGTATTGTTTTAGGCATTGAAAATATACAGTGTGCTCTGAAAAATGGTACGGTTGGAAAGCAAGCATGGATTTGAACACTCAGTTCGTGAAAATCAGACTGTGGCATGCCATGCTTCCCAGGGAAAGTAAAAAATGGAAGCCGAATTCTTCAAAGGGAATAGGTATTCATTTTGTGAAAGTGAGCTGTTTGGATGAAAATGCTTGGGTACAGTTTTTCTATGACTTCCAGGAGGTGAAGGAGTGACCGGGGGCTGGAGAGATGGCTCAGCAATTAAAGACAAGACTCAGGCTCACAATGAAATAAACGAGAGAGGTTTTCATTATGATGAGAGGAAATGAGACGTGTCAAGAATTAGTAAGTGATGATGACAGAGGGAAGAGAGAGATCATGAAGAGTCCTATCAGATTAATTTTAGACAGTTTTGACCTCACAAGAGGGAAAACTAAGTATTCCATGGTCAGTTTAAGAACGTTCAACTGTAGACAGAGGAGAATGGCTTCAAGATTTCAGGGAGCCCAGGCTGGGAGGTTTGCTCCAAGCCTGCGGCTGTGGACTAGTGAGCTAGAGAGAAGGCAGGGATGGAAGAATCAAGCCAGATGGAAGAACTATGAAGTGTCAACCAGAGAAGCAAAAGCAACACTTTGTTTTGTTTTCAGCACGGGTAGGTGACCTAGAGTCCAGGGTGAGAATTCACTATGATGATGATAATGCTAACAATTAGCTATGATTGGCCTGACAGGAAAGTCAGACAGGTCAAGTGTAGCTCACACTGTATTGAGAGGGCCACATAAGGAGCTAAACTGATTAAACTCAACAGCCGAAAAACTAAACAAGAGGCACAGATGTTAACGATGCATTTTAAGCATAACTGTAAAGTTTCACTTCCATAATTGTTCAAATCCAGATTTCTGAACAAAACATCAATATTGTTAAATTTGTTTTTATTTGCAGAAATAGCTACCCCAAGATAAGACTCAATGTCTTTTTTAGAGTCATTTGGTTTCCAACAATTTCATGACCCCTCTCACCAGACAAGATGCTAAGTGTTTTCTGTATTTGCCCCCTAATTTGTGCCTGTGTGTATGTGTGGTTAGCATTGCAATATGAAAAGTGGGGGACTTGTATAATTGGTGGCAAAGGAATTTACAATATTAATAATCACTGCATATTTTTTGTGTTCAGGATTCGGAATCAGGATGGAGGAATGTGTTTTTCCTGTCTGCTGGTGTCAACATGTTCGGTCTGATCTTTTACCTCATATTTGGACAAGCAGAAATCCAGAACTGGGCCAAGGAAAGGACTCTCACCCGCCTTTGAGGATGTTGGATTGGAGACCAAATAAAGTGCTGACACTTAACTTTTTAACATATTTTGCTTATCACCATTCTTTCTTCGTTCTCTTAACCTTAGACACAGCACCTCTCTACTCTGGCTGGGTGCTAGCTTTTCGAAAGGAGCTTCAAAAGTATGTTCCCAGGATATACTTCAGAGTGAGTTAGTCTGGGGTGGAACCCAGATGCCATTACATTTTAGGCTCCCTGGGATTTTTTTAACACTCCACTGTGGTTTATAATTGGTAGAGAATTTGAATTCAATTCTAGTTGCCTTTGAATTTTCCTCTTTGGAAAGTATTATATGAATAAAAATCTATCTGAAATAATCTGATAAATAACTTCCTGGAGACTGTTATGAACACAGAGAAGATATTCTAGGAATTGTACCTATAAGCTATAAAACTCTGCAAAGGACGGAAGTGAAACTTCTAATCACAGAATTAACTTTCTTCCATTTATAATACCATGGGTGTTTATACGGTTAAATGCTGTTAAGGTAAACACGCTATGATTAAACAGTCCATTAAAGCTATCTGGAATAAAATTATTTCTATAGGTGAAACAATATTTGAATCCTTGACAATTGCTTATAGGTTGTGACCAGAAAAATGATGAGAAAAGGATTCAATGAATGAGGTCAAAATGGAACACAGGTAAAGATACAGAATAAATACCAGATAGGGCAAGGTGGACGCCTCAAAAAACAGAGAGTTTAGTCACATGGTGAAAGGGAAAGGAGAAAACAAAGCACCCTTACGTGAAGGGATAACTTACACCAGGGAAGAAACTATTAAGGGTAAAATGAGCTGGAGAGAGGCATGGGAAGAAATTACTCAAGAGAAGTTCATCCTGATGGTAGAGACCAGTTAAAGTTCATATTCTTCAAATAGTCATCTTCACCTACAAAATAAAGCACAGGCTTTGATTTGGGATCTCAATGTGTAAAATGTACCCTCTAAGGTACCTCCACATAGATGGCTTATTCTATTTTTGCCTCAATTTCCCTAGAAAAATATTTTAAAAAAACATATTCAGAATTTTAAAACAACCACAGGACTAGAACCATCAGGGGAAGAGAATCTTCAGATCAGGGTTAGACCACTTTCATAGTGGCCATATCTTTTTGTCTGTTGGTTGGTTGGTTTTGTCTTTTCAAAGCATGATTTCTTTGTGTGTAGTCCTGGCTGCTCTGTATCTCACTTTGTAGACAAGCTAGCCTCAAACTCAGAGAGCTCTGCCTGCCTTTGCCTTCCAAGTGCTAGGATTAAAGGCTTGTGCCACCATGCTCAACTATAGTGGCCATGTCTTGTTACTTTAATGGGGAAGAAAGATTGAGATACAAGATCTCTCTATGTAGCTGAAACTATCCTTGAACTCATGATGCTCTTTCCTCACTCTCCTATGTGCTAATATGGCCAGTGCCTGTTGTCAGGACCAGCTTCTCAGCTGCTTTCCTGAAACCAGGCCAAGTGAAGGTCAGAGGACAACCTCAGCTGTTGCTAGTGGGGAACCACCCACCATCTTTATTTTTGTTTTCAGACAGGATCTCTCATTGTTCCAGAGGTCAAAGAATAGAACAGCCTGATTAGTCAATGAATTCCAGAGATCTGCAAGCTTTTGCCTCCCCACACTGGGGTTAAAAGCACATGGCACCAAGCTCGGCATGCTTTCTACAGCTTCTAGGGAATCTAAGTCAAGTCCTCATGCTTGCCCAGCAAGCACTTTGCCATCTCTCTTTTGATATGTGACTCTTCAACTCTGGGAAGTACCAGCTAGTCTTAACATTACCTCCAATGGTCCAACTTTACAAACCTACATGTAACATCATCACCTTGGCATCTATGATTTAAACAAACAAACAAACCATGAATGTAAGGACAAAGACATAGAAGAGATGCTGAATGCCATGAAGTTCAATGCACAGCATCCTCACCTATAACTCTGCACTCACTCTGGACTATAAAAAGTCATTCCTGAATGACAGTTTAGACAATGTAGAGCATGGCATATGCAGAGCCTAACACAATGAATTTGGATGTCAAAGAGTCTTCAGCTTCACACTCTAAGGAATGGATTCAAATGTGTCCAAGAAACTCAGGATGCTGGCATAGTGTTACAACTCTGATACAATGGAATCAAGAAACTTTCCTCTCCAGCAGATATGATCATTATTCACATTATTTCTCCGAAGTTGTTACCAAGTTTTGCACCGGCTTCTTTTCAGTCAGAACTGTCATGTCCCGGTGTGCACAGCGGTGCACAGAAGAGACAGTGTCGGGTCAACTCCCATTTCTCTTGCTATTTGCCCAGTTCCTTTCCTAGAATCAAGAAAATGTCAGCTGATCTGTCGCAAGGTCTCAGCAAACACAGCAAGGGCATTTGGAAAGATGTGTTCTTAGTTACAATGTCTCTGTACCTGGACCCACTAAGCCTGGTTCTTTTAGTACCCAGGTTGCCTCTGCCTGGGAGGGAGCCCCACATCTTTAGAAAGCCCTGTGGATTGGGCTGGGTTTTTAACTGCTAAAATTTCACACTGGGTTTTCTCCATTACCATCTGCTTTGTTTTCCGTGTGGGGCTTGGCGCTGATTCTGACCATGACTGCTAACTCAGCAATCCAGGGTCATTGCTCTGTTGCCTCATGGGTAGGATGTCACCATGTGAATGCGATTTTTCTGAAAGTAGTAGACAAAGAAGAAAGAACCAAAACGAGCATATTAACAAAGATAAAAGTAACAATAGACACAACAGTCTGGGGTAAGGAGTGAATAGAAGATAGATAACTGGAGTGAACAAACAAGCCACAAGTCAGTGAAACGGCTCAGTGAGTAAAGAATTTGCTGCCAAAGCTTGGTGGCCTGAGTTCTAGTCCTAGAACCGACATAAGAGCCTACATAGGGTGGAAGAAGGGAAGTGACCGCACAAAGTTACCCTCTGCCCTATATATCCATGCTATGGAAATGTCCCACTCCATATTACACACCACGAGTAAGTGACTGGGATAGACATGTTATGGGCTGTGCCTCTTTTTGCTGCTTCCCTTTCTCTTTCTTTCTTCCTTCCTTTCTTATTTTCTTTCTCTATTTTTTTCTCTTTCTTTCTTGTTTTTGAAGAGCTTGCTCTGTATCCCAGGATGGCATTCAGTCATTAATCTGCTGCTTCTCCCTCCAAAGTGATAAGATTGTAAGCATGTGCTCCCATTCCCAACTTCAAATTTAGCTTTGTATTTTAAACTCAATTATTTGATCTATTTTGAGATCATTTTGTATGTGTGGTACCAACGTTCAGACCCAAGATCTCTAACATGTTAAGCAATGTTCTAGTACTAAACTATGTCACCAGCTCTAGTAGCTACTAGTTACGCTTAACAACAACACAAACACAAACAAAGCTACAGAAAACAAGTAAATAACTGGCCAGTTTGGGGATCATTGTACTTGTATGTTTGAATGACAAAACTTCCTCTCTATTGAGAAATAATTTAAAAAATGGCAAAATTCATTTTTCATGACAAGAAATAAAGCCAATGAGAGATCCACACAACTCACTGTTTGAAACTCTGAATTAAGTTCTCAGGAAATATTTTGAATTCACCAAAATAACTCAGAAAACAAAGACTAGAGGACATTCCCATAGAAGCCAGACAGGCTCAAGCTGTGCAAAACTCAGAGGGAGAGTTGGAGTGAGAAGAAGAAATCTCCAGATGGACTGAAAGGAGGAAGGATAGGTTAGCATATAAGAGGAATATAGGTTACCTTGTGAAAATAGTTGTAATTAAATATGGAATGCACCAAAAAAAGGAAAACAAAGATTTGAGAATTTGGTACTTATCACCATGAATTAAAGATGATGGTGACTACTTAGAATTTAAAATGCTGCCTTGGGGCTGGACGGATGGTTCACTGAGTGAGGAATTTGCTGTGTAAGCCTTAGAACCCACATAAAAGCCAGACCTGGTGGCACACACACTTGTAATCCCAGTACATCTATAGCAACATAGAAGATAGAACCAAGAGAATCTTCAGACGCTCTCTACCAGACAGCTGGCCAGAAGCAGCAGTCAACAGCGTGGCTGCATGAGAGCATCATGGCATGTATGCTCTCTCTCTCTCTCACACACACAAACAGGCACACAAATGGTGTCTTGGGACACCCATCTTTTTGCTTGAATATGGTTATAGACCATGAAAACAGCTCCATTTTTAAGAATGTACCTGTTTCCCAGTGCCAACAGGAACATGCAGCCAAGGGCTATGGAATACAGTGAACTGCCAAGTTATTCTGAGGGTTCACCTCAGACTAATCAAGGGCTGTTCTTCAGCTTCAGGGAAGAAACTTTTGCAACGTCTTCCCATGGGGATTTCAGAATCTCCTTGAAATACTCAGCATTCTGTTTCCTGTTTCTACAGTTATTTTACTTCTGGTTCACTGTTAGACAGTGTAGCAGAAGTGGGACATAGGTGGTTTATTGATTTTTCCAAAACAAAAAGAATCTGAATCCAGGATAAGACAGCAATTGCTCTGGGCTTCTGCACTTCAGTTCTGATGCACTTATTCTGATGTGAGCTTGGGACCCAGGGAGGTTTACCTACTGAATATATGTTATGTATAGAAAAGACCAGAAAGCAAATATTTGTGATAATGATTTCAGAAATTTGGGGTCTGGAAAGATGACTCGGTGGTTAAGAGCACTGGCTGCTCTTTCAGAGGCCTCAGATTCAATTCCCAGTACACACATGGCGGCTTACAACTGCCTATAACTCCAGTCCCAGGGGTCTGACACCTTCACACAGACATATGCACAGGCAAAACACTAATGCACATAAAATAAAAATAAATAAATACGTCATCAGGGCATGGTGGTGCACGCCTGTAATCCCAACACCTGGGGAGGCAGTGGCAGGCGGTTCTCTATGATCTTGAGGCCAGCCTGGTCTACAAAGTGAGTTCAGGACAGCCAACGCTACACAGAGCAAGCCTGTTTCAATAATAATAATAATAACAATAATGATAAAATAATAAATCATTTTTTAAAATAAAGATAAAGCTTAAAATTTTTCAGACAGTGATGAATGGTGCATTTTACAAATATTTCTGCTCTGCCCTGTGTGATGGTGGCACTTTTCCACCTATCACAGCATCTGGCTTTTCTCCACGACTTCTGGCTGATGAAATATGAGTCTTAGTTCATTATTCACCCAGTTCCTTTTTTTTATTTTATTTTATTAAAAACTTCAGGCACAACAGCTGGGAAGATACTCAGGTATTTTAATCTGACAATACTGGCCTGGCCTACTTCTCAGGCACGTGACCTGTTGTCTGCC